GGTGTCGGCATATATTGGTCTCAAAAGGAAGGTCTATAAAAAAGCTAATTCGTTGGATGTATTGTCCGTGGATTTGATAATATAATTAAAGTTTGTGTGATTGATAAGTTGTTATCTACTTTCTTGTTCGTTCTGATAGATTAAGGTATCGCTAGAGTATTTCGAACTTGGGTAATTACTGCAAAACCGAGCCACCGAGTTAAATATAAAAATTGAAATAAAAAATATAATCTGGATCACAAGTAGCGCGGGATGCATCACAAGTTGGGATGTTTCCCATGGCTCCCAAAAAATGCGCCCCTATGAAAGTTGTGTGGCGCGACCCCAGGGCGGGATACCGATACTCCGGTGGGCCCCCAAATTACCGGGCCGTACCATTGCACGAAACTGATGTCTCCACTTTCAGCATTGTCTATCCGAGGTGTGCACGGCGGAAGCCCATTCCGTTTTGCGGCCCTCTTTTGGGGTGTCTCGACAGTGAGGGGAACGCCCAAAATTTTGAATATGACTGCCGCCAAAGTGAGTGATCCGGGTGGCAATAAGTCAAAGGGAATTGGGGGTTTTGGTTACGATAATGGGCAGAGGGGGGGCGAGGGTGAGGTGTACATTTGAATCAGGGTTGCTTTCAAGATCGTTTGAAATTTTGCGTTGATATAGATTTCTTGCTCCGCTGTAAAAAATAAAAAATTTAACTACCAACTACTACCAAAAGCAACAATCAGCTACCGAATAACATATGCAAGGAACAACCTCAAATCAGGATCTACCCAACCCCACCACTCCGCTCTGACTCAACATTCCACCGTCCCGTAATGGCCTCCCCAAAAAAACCTAACCCCCGTGCCGAATGAGCCAGAAGCAGCCCTACCGCGTTCTCACACAAATTTCTCCCCCTCGAAATGCTTGACCACCTCCACCTCCTTCTTTCCCTCGGTCTTTTTGACTGTTCGGCACCTCAAAAGGAAAACGTTTGCGAACACCCTTCACTCCGTCCACCTACGGGGGCTTCTTATCGGCGTCAAATCTTGACCCGTGCCTCAGGTGAATACCGTAACGGGCCTTGGGAATTCGATTGTGGGATGGAGCGGAGGGGAAATAGGAAAACCATGGTTCTATTTGGAAAATGAAGCTTTTTGGGGAAACATTGTATTTTTTTAAAAATTCTGAGCGTGAACGAGAGAGAGAGGGAGAGAGAGACCGCGAGTCTTCGATCAAGCTAGTTTGCAAAGTCTGGCTTATTCACAAAAAGCTATCCTTTACAAAGCATACTATGCAATAATTGCAAAAAAAAACCCGGACCGTGAAATTGTTTTATTGAATGCTAAATCAACTCGCCTAGAAATCAAATCCAGCTCAGGTGCTTACCACCCGAAACAAAACCTTGAATCAAATATTCCGGCTGGCAGCAGTCCAAAAGCACAATTGCCCAGACTGGGACCCAAGCCCTTAGGGCCCTGATCGGGGTTGGCATGGGCCAGAGACTCCAACCCGGGGGGCCATAACTTAAAAATTATGTGCCGGAGGGGCCGATGGAACACGGGGGATAGACCCCGAGACGCAACGAATGCTCCATTCCCTTCCTAACCCTTGAAATGAAGCCCGCGAGCTTCTGGCCAAAAGCTTCGAAGGTTCAACTTTAAAACCCGGATGTACTTATTCGGGAGAAATATTGACTCGAAAATTCAGGCTTGAGAGTAGGACGTCCAAACATTAATGTAGGATACGTATGGCAGAGCTGCGAAGTTAAGAAAGACCAGAGACGAACGGAAAGAGTGTAAAATAAAAATATAGACTCGGGGATTGGGGATCGATGTTAGGAAAAATAGAAAATATGAATCATCGATAGGATGACACTGGAAAACTTGAGAAAAATCTGGATAGAAATAGAATTAAAATAGGAGGAAAACAATAACAAAACTATACTCGAAAAATAGAAATTCGGAAAGATTCAGAAAAGTTCGGTCATAGTAGAAAATTCTTAGAAAAGACCAAAAGTTTTAAAAAATAGAAAATGAACAAAATTGAACTGTAGAAGATTTGGCTAGTTCGGATGTGAAACTGATGCCAGGTAAAAGGAAGAATTCGGTAGCTGGTAGCAACAAGCTTGACACCTTATGTTCACGTAAACTATTTGTGTAAATTTATGTACACCATTTCTGTAATTTAGATTATTATTTATTTATGTAAATTCAGCTTAAAAGAAAAGCTTAGTCGAAGTCGCATGCAAAACCATGCCGTTAAAAAGATCAAAGCGAGTGGTTCTCAAGGGGACACCGCTGACTCTCTATCCACCCCACAGGGGGTGCAAGTTTGTGGTCGAATTTGGCACAGTTGGCAGAGATTTATGCGATTCGAAATCGGCTGCGAAGTGGCCACCCCCGAACCCCCCACCTCTGCTACCCCAACCCCAAGACTTCATTTCTCTAACCATCACCTTGCTCTCTTATTCCCCGATATTATCTCGCATTCGACCACCCGCAGCACACACAACATGATAGCAGCACCAGGGGGATGGATAAAAAACTGAAATTCCGGTGTGGTGGGGGGTGTGGAGGAACAATTATTTCTGTCAAACTCCCGATCCCTCTCGGCTAAAGCCATTTGTCATTCGGGAGGCGAGACATTTCTCGGGTTGTCCCGTTTTTCTTGTCACTGAACCGTGCTAGCTGGTGCAGAATCAAGACCTACAGGGGAACGGCTGGATTTTGGGATTTTTTTAGGGAGATGAAACCTCCAGTTTTTTGTGCTCTTTGTACGATACGCCCTCAGTTTCTAAAAAAAACCTTTTACTAATTTTTATGCAAAGCGTTAGCATAGGACTCATATAGCTAGTTGCGGGAAATCCAGCCTTCAAATTCTTCTAGGTTTTTCAGCACTTATCCGAATCATGACAAGCATATAATATATCGCAATGATCTAGAAAATTGTAGTAGCCTTATAATATTCTATGCTTTACTGTGCGGCAATTAAGGTGGAGGCTCTTGTAAAAATTTTATTTTTCTACAGTATGATCTTGAAAATTGCAATATTCCTACATTTTACATCTTTTATACTCAAAAATCCAACACCAACTTTCTAAGCGTTATTTTTTGAAGCACCTACAGCTTTCCAGTCACTACAATCCATAAAAAGGTCAACTCTTCCCCCTTTCCATCCTGACCCCAAAATGCCGCCGGTGTTCTTCTGCCTGCTCCAATTTTCCGGTGACTGCCCACATTTCAGGGTGTCATCGGTCGCTCAAGATGCCACCCAACCCACCTACCAAGTCAGGGTCGGGAGCCAACCGGACCACCGTCTATTCTTTTTTCGAGATACTACCTACTGCGAGAGAGGAAAGAATCTATAAAGTGCTTCCTCGTCTCCCAACCCCCTATTCTATCCATCCTCCCTCAACTAGCCCCACCCTCTATCCATTTATATACATTGGCTCATGTCTCCATCCAGACTCCCTCGCAATAATCCCCCAAGTCTGGGAAGCTAGTTTTTATGGGTAGTCTGTTATATAGGAGGACTTTTTTGTATTTCGGGCTTTTTGAGAGTAGCGGCTTGAGGTTTTGCTCAATTTCGATTGACTGGACTGGACTAGAAAGTAGGTTTACAACTTCTTACCGGGCCCTAAAACGGCAAGCCCGAAGATTAAAGCCCGCCTGTCGACTTCAGGATCCCTCATGCAATATGCCGATGCTCATCCTCCGTGTTTCAGATTTTCCACCACGGGTAGAGGTACTAGTCTCCTTGAAAAGTCTGTTATTTAACTATGCTTTTCCAGGCTCTGAATCTTTTTATACCTATCAAATTGGTATGTTTTCGTGAAATCTTCTGTGAAATCTTTACCATATATTTTGAGATACAACCAGGGTTGAAAAGCCGCCTCGCGACTTTTTCAACCCCTGGCCCCGCCTGATCCGGTGATATTCTTTACTTTACATAACTTTCCCGAATTACGATGACAAAAAATAAAAAAAACGCCTTCTCCTTCCTATAAGATATGCGTGATGATACGATTTGCGTGGTGTAAAGACTCAGCCACCGCCTTTTCCAATTCGCAAAATCTCGGTTGATTGGTACCGCCCCTCGGCTTAAACTCTGCATCCAACATCGAAGAGGCTTATGTATTCTAGGTCATAGTGCCGTGGATGAGGAATAGAAAGAGAGAGAGAGAGGGAGAGGGAGAGAGAGACGGTTTGAGGATCGAATGGAGATAGAGAGCGGCTGGAGAACGTCCGTGACGGCCATGCGGATTACTATCCTAAGGGTCGACGGGTCAAGCGGGGATGATGCCAGTTGGGTCGACGGCTCGACGGCTATCCGCGGTTCTCACTTTTTTCTGGGCACCGTCTACCGATTCTGGTGGTGCTCACCTTTTGTTGGAATCGGTGTTTCGCCTATTTATAACCAGGGTTGAAGGTCCTTTCAACGGAATCAGCTTGTTTATAGCGTAACTACGGGTTGTGCCGAGCCTCCGCTACGCAATTCTTGCCGCTCCTTGTCGCGCTCGCGCCATAAGTCACTAACTAGTTGTTCCAGAAACACGGTTTTGCGGATATGAAAAGAAGTAAACTACCACCAATTCCTGGTGTATGCTAATTGTTTCATAAAAGTAGTACTTATCGATATTTTAAACCGTTTCTACTCTTCTTAACCGATTTCACGAAAATTCATGCATATAAAAATGAAACCTTCCTATAAGTAGTCATAGTAGGTCGCCACCGTATAAAATTCGTAGAAAAGCGCAGATAAGAAGACTCATATTTCCTTGCTTGACCCTTTAAAGTTCGTTTTTCACGCCAAAAAGTGTCGATCCCTCCTCTTTTCCAGTTGTTCTTTAATAGCCACTACTGTGGTGGTGTATTGAGTGGTTCTTTCTCCGAAATCCCGGCATTGCACCCATTGAGTGGACGGGTCTAATTGCAGTAGTCCGAGACAACCCATCCCGGACGACTGGCCAACGACCGTCAAGTCTGTGAATGAACTGTCCCTAAATGTCGATGCCAGCAACTATGTGTATGAATTCTGTATTTCTTGTAAGTATATTAAACATTGCATGCTAGTTTTAGACTTTAGAGCCTCTACTAATACATTTCCTTTAGATCATCGTCTCTACCGTATGCTTTCATTTTGTTTCTAGTCAACAATCCGATTTAATAGCAGGTGATTTACGAAACAAATTCTAATTATTTTTATGGTTTCAGATAAAGCCGTCCAGTGCTCGAGCGATGCGATGCTGGTTAAATTTTTGTTCACACGACCCTTTGAGGGGAGTATATTTACAGAAAAGGGATATAACAAAGAAAAGTAAGGATTGTCGGGAAGATAACAAAATTCTTGGTTTTGCAGATGTCATTGGGCTGGTAATTCTCGATCCGAAATGACGGTTACGGTGCCGATATTGAATTCCACAGAGTGTGGCGTGGCGCATAATCAGGTAGGTTAAATTTCTATTAAAAAGTCTGGTGTCTGTAGTATTACGCGAATTATTGGCTAGACAATAAAAATATTCAAAAAGTTGTTTTTTATAGGAAAACGATGAATATGTTGTAAAACTAATCGTCAGTCCTGTCGATGGACTTATCGTGGATGGTTTTTCGGGTAAGTTATTTAAAAATGTAAACTAAATTCATGCTAACATTTAATTAAATTCAGCGGTCAATGTTCGATGCATTTACATGACTCAAGATATCACCCTAACTCTTCCCGCCGGTCAAGATGGAAAGCACGCCCTTAGCATAAGGTAATTTTTTTCAGGTATTGGCAAAACTTTCTAAAATAATATTTTTAGCGGCTCGACAGTCGAAGATTCTGTAGTTACCGGAAATGGTGGTGCTCCATTGCTTTCGATGCAGGTTTGAAGCTCTAAAATGCAAACAAAAAGTAATTTTCAGATCCTAGAAGGACACGGAATTACGGGACAGCCAGTTGCTAGAGCTTCGGTGGGCCAGCGAATCAGCTTGGATGTGATGCTAAAAGACACCTGTAAGCTTCAGCGTATAATTCATGCAATGTTTGTACAGCAATTTACGATTTCTATGTGCATTCCTGCTTTGCTAATGATGGGTTGAACAATCCGGATGCTACGATTCAAATTATTGATGAGAACGGGTAGGAGTTTGTAAGAATGGCCATTTTAGAGTTATTCACAAGGCTTCAATTTTCGCATTTAGTCATATTAAATGGAAGCTCAAATATTAATTTTACTCATCCAAAATCTTCAAAGATCTTCTAAATATCTTCAATACAAATTGAAATTTTGTTTAGTTGTGGTGTTCGACTGTCAAGAGCTGTAGATGTACCAGTCCTCAGCTCCTCCTCACCGGATAATGGAGCTAAACATGTCTATCTTCACATGTATGGATTCCAGGTTTGCGCTTACAACTTGCCATCATAAATCTCATATTGCAGTTTACTTCGTCCCAATTTGTCCACTTTGAATGCCAAGTACGACCCTGTGTCCATTCATGCAAACGACAAGTAAAAAATCTAATTATCCTGATGCAAAATCTATTTAGCAATGCGAATCTGGAACCACCTCCGCGGTCCCATTAATCCCAGCGCGGTTTAGAAGGGAAAGTTGGGAAAAGAATAGGTAATTCTACTTCTGAAAACCGTAAGTATCGATCTCTTAGAATCAACTTGAAAGAAGATGCGGATGCCATGGAAAATTTGCATTTGACAACGGTGCTCCAGATTGATCCTCCGAGGATGAAACGAGATGCTTTAGGTTGGTACTTTTGAAAATCAACTTCTCGCATAAAAAACAATTTTTGTAATTTATTCAGTATGGTCCGAGGGTGAAAAAGTGACAAGCTGCACATGCGTCTCACTCCAACTCTTCCTCCTCGCTGGCCTCGTCGAAATGGCCGTCGGTGCACTAATGACAATGCTCCTACTCCGAATCTGCCGAAACCCACTTACAGCCAAGGATTTTAACCATTAATCTCTGTTTCTTTGCTTTAAACCATCGCAATATAGCTTTAATGTATGCAATATTTTATTAATCTCCGTGCTTTACCATTGCTCAGCTTTAATTTACTGTCCATTTTCCATAATAAATTCTTTCATCGATCGTTTTTGCAATGATTAAAGATGGACGGGATGCAAATGGAGATTTTTGAGGGGTTGGTGTTGAGGGGTTGATCCCCTTGGGACATCGTCTAGCCTTCAACACCTCCTGACGGGGCCATTTGTGGCAAGAAAAAGGGCAGCAAATAGCGCTGGGCTTTCTTTTGGGAAACGGGTCTCGAACGCGATTTCCTCCGTATATCCTTTTTTGAGGCTTGAGAGTTTCAAAAACGAACTGCCCTTTAGGGATTTTGCAGAGAACAGAATTTTAAAGTGTTTCGTCTACTTGTCTTAAAAACTTCGAATTTTTTAAACGAGAAAAATTTAAACGGACAAAATAGGATGACTGAATACATCACTCTCTCGGCTTTTTCTTCTTCTTTCAAATTTCGAGGAACGTAGAGGGCTTTACTTGAGGTAGAGAACCTAATCCCCGCCCGTTCCTCAGGCCCGTTTTTAGGTCTGGCTAATGCCCTAAAAGAAGAAACAATTTTTTAGTCGCTAAATAGAATAGCTCGGCAAAGGTTTTCTAGATTTTCCTCCATTTTATGTATCTTATTCCTTTACCTTATGCGCCAGCTATGCTTTTAGAAAGTTATGAAGCCTTTTCCTACACTGTTCCCTGTCACTCTTCTAATTTCAACAATCTACGCTTCAATGAGAATCGAATCCTATAAAAGCCATGGCAAGAAAACGTCGAATTATTCAAGAAGGTAGGTCTAAACTAAAACTAAATTTACCTAAACATTTCTATAGTACCCTTGCACCGTAAGTTTTTGCATATTAAATGTGGTAAACACAGAATGTTGTCTTTATCATACATCTATTATTGTCAAGCTTTTGACGTTTGACGTCTTTATAATTTTAGACAAATCGACTCCTCGCCAGCTGCCAATGTTAGTTTTTTGCTCAACTCGATTTTGAAGAATTATGACAAGGAATTTCGTCCTGGATTTGATCGTAAGGACTTTAGAGAAATAAATCAAACAAAAATTTTCAGGAAATCAACCCACCGACGTCTATATTGATATTTTTGTGCGGACAATGGGTCCAATTTCAGAGTTGACGGACGTAAGTTGAATTACAGCCTACGTAAAAATTAGAATTTAGACCTATTCTTTTGATTGTTATTTTCGACAAACGTGGAGAGATGAGCGCCTGCAATTTGAGTTTGGGCATGGACAGACTGGTCGTACGCTGTCCCTAGCAATGTCCATGTTGGACAAAATTTGGAAGCCAGATACTGTGGGTCTAACACGCTGCAAGTTTAATTTTAATTTGTAGTACTTTTGGAATGGGGCTGGATCATATATCCACATGCTGACATCTCCAAATCGATTAGTCAGGTGCATTTTGGTTTTCAAACCAAAAGCTCTTTTTAGATTGAGCGAAGACGGAACAGTCCTTTATTCGTCACGTTTGACGGTTAAAGCTAAATGCAAAATGCTGTTAGCTCGATATCCTTTGGATACTCAAGCATGCAAGCTTGTCGTTGGCAGCTTTGCGTACACGGCAAATGAATTGACATTTAGATGGAAGGTTGCAGCTTTTCTGCCTTCATCAACATCTTTTTCCTAGACTACATCCGACCACCAAGGTGTAAAAGTGGATATGGCTGCTGTTGCTCAACTACCACAGTTTCTAGTTAGTGGCTATGAAGTGATCAATACCACAAATCAGACCCGTGATGGTATCTTGATTTTCCAGAAAGTTGCAACGCTTTTAGCACTGTATTCTTCCTTGGAAGTCCGATTTTTCCTTGCGCGTCATGTTGGCTACTTTATCATGAATTTCTACGTTCCGTGCACTCTAATCGTTCTACTGTGCTGGGTGGCATTCTGGATCAACCGTGAAGCTACAAACGATCGCCTTGGGCTTGGTTTGTATATTTAAGAAAATGCGTTGACTTTAAAATTGCAGGAATTACTTCCGTGCTCACTATGACTTTCATTTCGATCGATTCAAAATCCGATGCTCCTAAAGTAGATGTACCCACGGCATTGGATGTCTATATTTGGGTATATTAAGATTTTTTTACCGTCTATTAGATTTTTTCTAGATCTGCTATGCCTTTCTATTTGGTTGTGTCGTCGTTTTTACCATTGTTCATTACCATACAAAATATCGGACCGGAGATCCGGAGATACAAGAGTTAGAAAGGGAGAAGATGCGTCAGTTGATTCGAAGTATACCAACTAAGGCTGTTTTAAGGTAAGTATTTCGTAGTTTTCTACTGAATATATTTTTATAGTAGTCGTTACTACAACCGGCCTCATCAGGAGCGGCCTATGGAGAGAATGCCTTTGAGTATGCATAATGGTTATGTGAAAAGAACTTTGGCAGATATGGTACGTATAAACAGAAATAATTTATATGTAATTTCATGGGTATCACCTATTTAATAAAAACCATACCCAACTTTTAGAGTCGTCGCGATGGTGGAAGACACTCACTTTATAACAAAAAAGCTACTAGTTTTCGAATGGCTAAGCGCATGCTTACACCACAACAATCAAATAGGTATAGTTTTTTTTTAGTTGAACCAAGCCTATTCTATTATTTCTAGCCACACAAATGAACCCGTAAATATGGAGGCATTCCATCAAGAAAATGTCGGCTGGCGTTTCTACTACTGGCTCTTAAATCACGTAACGCAACACCCAGCTTCTACCAGCTTTCTTTAGAATAAAAATGACCCATTCGGTATCAAGCAGAACTCAATGTCGACGGTTGATAGGTGAGAAACCTCACAAAAAATGTCATGATAACATTTTAGATTTGCACGAGCGGTTCTCCCATTGGCTTTTGGCATTGTCGTCCTCATTTATTATCTGATTTACATGAAATCAACATTTGAATTTGATTGATTTGAACAAAACATAATTTTATCGAAATAAAGTGTGGTTTCTGACAGCCTGTTACCATTTTTCTAAGCAGTCATAAATCCGATGACTCAACCCGATCCTTATGAAATGAAGATGTTCCCAAAATCGGTATTTCTATCTATTTACCGAGTTGGCCATTTGTGACTCACCCATGTTTCGTCTATTCATTTACGCGATGCCCGCCCTTCCAGATTTTACGAAACGCTCCTGTCGCCGCTGTATATGTGTGGCTATAGCTGTGGTGGGGGCCCCATTTTGCATAAGGCGTAATCAGATTAATACATTCTGGTCTCGAGTCTCCACTGTCTGCAAACTCAATAACACTCAATTCCCACCCAATGGACGAGGTCACATATTTCTCAAAGGCTGAACATATTTTTCCTCATCTTGAAGATGGCAAAATTCCTACCGAACAATTTTTGAGTGCGTGTCAGGGGATTGCTGATTTTGTTGGTAAGTTTATATTGTATTGGTAGCAGACTTCACTAACAAGACAAAAAATGATCGCTGATTTTTTTATATAATTTGTGCTATCAATTATCTTTCAATCGATCTTCATTTTAATTCTTAGGTTTCCTTGGCACCGCTTTCGCCCCGGTAAAGGCGGATATTAGCGGAAATGTGACGAAAGTACGGGCGCGATTTGAGAAAAACAAAGAAGGGCAGAAGTACTTGCAGGTAAGCACATTTATTTAATGCAACTTCTGACATTCTAAATTACCACCTTCACAAACAAAGATACCATAATTTCCAGGACTTGATAGATCAAGATCTGGCCGAAAATGGTGGGAAATTGGGGATTGCTACTGAAGGGTTGCTATGGTTGAAAAGGTAGGTCAAGCCGGAAGCTCAGACTAATTGAGAATTTATGCAAATTGAATTAACATGAACCCTAATTTTTTTGCAGAGGCCTGGAATTCATGCTTCACATGCTGGGTCAAATGATCGATCAATATAAGGCCGGAGGGGATCGATCAAAGACCGAATCATTAGTGCAAGTTATCAACTACGCGTATGAACGTTCGCTGAAGCGACATCACGGCTTTATGTCAAAGCAATTGTTTAAGGTAAATACAAGGGCAAAGAAACTAATTTGAGTGTTAAATTTCAGCTTGTAATCCACGCGGCCCCATACCGACGAACGATTTTGAAAGCCGTGGCACTAGGGAAAGAGGGTTTGGATGATGTTTGCATCCAGCATATGGAGGAGCATCGTGCCAATTTCAATCTGAACGTTAATGTTCTTGTTGACTATTATGTATCAAAGGGTCTCGAAACGCCTAATCCAAATTAATTCATCTAGTCTTTACGAATGTAAGCGAGTATTTTTTGGGAAAAGTGGTTACTTCTACCCACAAACTACCCCTTCCTTTCGACAATTTCTCTAAGTTTTAGTATTTTTGCTAGAATTTTTAATCCTATCATATAAACTCTGTCTGTAGATATACGTGCTAATTGGTTTTGTGTCAATACGTACCCAAACTTTTCTCACATTCCGTAACTTTCCATAAACCCTTTCTCCTTCCTTCTCCATCCCTTTCCTTCCATCCGCCTAATTTGCCAACATGACATTTTGCGGCCATATGCTTGATGGTAGTGCTAAAGAAGCGATTCTTGTATGACCACCACTTTCTGTGAATTCTTTGTGATTTTGGCTACATTTTTCAACTTTTCATATCTCCATGGCGCTTAGATTTTTATGAAAGTAATAAAGCTACATTTTGATTAGTGTTTGCAAAGGTTTTCATGAATTTATGTGGCCTTGTTCACTGAGTAAAAAGTATGAAACTTAATCACTTGGGTAGGATGGAAGAGAGAAACTGACACTCACACGCACTACATTCACTTGGTAGGGCACCTCAAAGTATCGGCCGCCAAAAATTACTGGAAAGCACGTAAAGATGGCTTTCGGATCGATAGTTTTTGAGGTTGGCATTCCTGCATTGATTTGTAAGTTTATAAAGGGTGGTTTTGAACGAAGATATCATTTCCTGGAAGTTGGAAACCAAGGTTCCGTTCAGGGGGCATCGCATGCCTATTGAATTCCTCAGTTGTCATCTTCTGCATATTTAATCGCTTTTTTATCAAAGAAATTCTAATCATGCTGTTCCTATGCATAGCTGATGCTATCTATTGTTTCGCTTCCACATACTCGCTTTTCCAAAAACTTTATGTGATATTCTTTGGTGACAGTAAGTCAGATTACGTACTTACTATCATTTACATATATTCAGTGACCGTAATTGTCACAAATCGCGACTGTATGAACTATGGGTATTCCTATATCTTGCTATTCGGGATTCCTTATGTTGGAGTGACAGATTTGGCTTTCTCGATCGACAAATTATTGATGGTGCAATGGCCGTTATTATATAGGAGATTGACAGCGAAGCATATTTTTTGGACCATGATTGGTAGGGAATATACTAAATTACCAGAAACTAAACCATCCGTAGGTCTAACGATTATTACGACGCTCTTCACATCATGGCTGATTATTCAGTGGCTATCGATAGAACCTTATTCGACACCAGTAATGTGCCCGGCTGATTATATGCCAGTTCAAATCCAGCTACCTGCAGTATTTGCCCAGTTGCTCTTCACGCTGTTGTCGGCATTGGTATATCTCCCGGTGCTGGTTTATGTTGCTAGGATGAGATTTAAACTCTCGAGGTTGCCATCGCAGCTTGACAAGACAAGTGTGAATTTGGTAATGAAAGGCGGTGAGTTGATAGTAAGCATCGGGTGTTCCAAACCCCCCCCCCCCCCCCCCCCTTGCTAGCGAGCGGTGAAAATCGGACCGGGAAGATTATACACCATTCGAAAGCTCCTCAAAAGACGAGAAAAACAAGCCTTTGATTTCTTAAATTCGAGATCTCACATTCGATATAAAAAGGTTTCTGGAAAAATAGCAAGCATCTTTTCGCCGCGGGATCATCCATTAACATGGAGATCTGCTGTTTTCAAGGTTTACGCCGTTAAAAATCTATATAAAACTGCTGACTTTCCGGTCTTGTCGAAGGCTTTCGATTGTTACTTTGATTCTAAAAACCAGACACTGCCCCATCTCGCTAGAAGGGGGGTATTTTGTTCGGACCCCTGATTTATTTAGGCGTTGTAATCGTGACAGTATTCGTAGCATATGGTATTCCCGACTGCATCCGACTACTATGGCTTTCATTCTTCCTCCGCTACCAAAATTTCTTCTTCAATATGATGACAGCAAAACCCCTTCTCAATGCGGTTATTGCGATCTCTATTATCCGAACGATACGTAAAGATCGTCGATCGAATCCCACGATTTCGGTCCATAACCTCCCAGACAGCCGGCTGTCTTATAAATAGACCATTGTACTAACGCTGTTCAGCATCTTCACACTCAGATTTTAATTTGCAATGTGAACATTTCCACGCTAATTGAAACCCTCCCATCATCGTTGATTAGCTTGGCAATCCTTTCCATGTAACCCTTGGGCAAAATTACACACTCAAACACCACATGGCGCAAATTACGTGAGAACCCAGCTAAATCAGCGCACTCTTATAAAATTCTTTTCTCAGGGCATTGCGTCAGCTCGACGGGAAATTCCGCATACAGCCTTTATTATGCAATTTATATTTGAGGAAGTGAAGGGTGGAATTATTAAATCACAGGATATCATGGAGGGTTTTGGTTTGGCAAGGGGTTTGGGCACGGAAATGTTTGAGACGTGGCATATCACATTTGTTGAACCTGTTGAGGAGTAAGGTGGAGAGGAGCCAGATGAGGATGATGATGTATACAAATACTTGTGGGTATCGTCCGGGCAGTGGGAGTAGCTGATAGCTGGCGGCCATGGTATCGGTGGTAAGGGGGCTAAAAAGGTATTATATTGCATGTTTAAAGCGTAAAATACTGACCATAGGCTTAGATGTCCATAGGCCATTTGCGGAACTCCCATGCGGTAACTACAGGTTGGCGTTTTTATTTCGACAAGCCGGCGGTTAGGGCCGATATATCCAGTCCATAATTCGCCAGGTAGCATTACTTTTTCTACCCAACTATATTCCATGGTATAAATATGAGCCTCAAGGAGATTATTATGTAAACGTTAAAGCGGAAAAACTTACAGTATGGTCATGCGCTGATAAAATCAACGTTGCGTTAATTTCAGTAGCCTGAATTCTTTTTTAAATTTATAAACTGTACAAACCTTCATCAACGCATTTGACCACGCTTTCATGACCGGCATATGAGAGAGAAGAATTCGTTGTGTAGAAGGGGCTGTGGACAGGTGAATAGGACGTAGCTCCATGTTAAACACGTTCAACTAAAATATTTGTAAATCATTCCCACGTCCAAACTTACAAAATGAAAATCGATTGGGCCGAGGTTAGGAATACTTGTGTATCGTGTTGTAGGGAAGATTTGGCTAAAAGGTCAACATATCGTACTCAAGATTTGCTTACTCAAATTTAGCAACAAGCTCTGGGATGACCCATCCGTATTCTCCACCGACATCATTGTCGCCAGGGATGAAGATTTGCTAAAAAAGGCTTCTGGTTTTTTGGCTTGCAAGTTACCTTATCCGGGCCGACACCCGTATTAAATATTTGATGAAACCTTGTGGCGGCTAGTTGATATTCCAAAACGGACGCGCTTAAGCCTTCGTCGAGGAGGTCGCCTGATTTTATTTTTAATTTCAAAGAGGTAAATTGTACCGAGGAATAAGACCAGTTCCGGTTTGGTGTGAGCATAAGCATAGGCGTAGCCTTTTTGTAGGTATCTGAACGCGTCATATTATTATCTTTTAATACTATAGACCCAACCTATCAGCATCCCATCTACTCAGCCAACCAATCCACCATGGTTCATTTTGATAGCCGATAAGTTGAGGGTCGGCGACCAGTAGCAGGTTTGTACAGTTCCTCAAAACGGTTTTTTTAGTTTTGCTTCCCACGCTCTCTCATTTATCGCTCTCTCTCTCTCTCTCTCTCTCTCACTCTCTCTCTCTAACTTACAAATTCTCATTATGAAATGGCTTCCAATGTACATAATTAACATAAAACGAGATCCATTCATTCCACAGCACCGCTAATATTAACACGGCCAGCACAACTTTTGGCGACTTCAATGAGCTGACCCGCATTTGTATTTCATGGCCTAAAACCTTTGACTAAATTTAAACTGCTATGATTTTCTAACGATTTAGGGCCCTGAGCTACGCACGACACCAAATAACTGCTGACATAATACGATTTGTACGGCAACAAGACCAATTCATTATACTTTATTAAACGCCAATGTCCAAAAATACAGTGTGGCCAACTAGAACGGAATATCAAAAATGTGAAGCGAAATGGTATGAAATGGGAACCTGTACGCGATGTGGTGGGATGAGATTTGCATGTGAAAAAGCGGGAATTAAATGGAACAATCGGTGGAAGAGATCGAGGGTTGTAATACAATATTAACGAAAACATGATTAGAAATTCGATCACGCAGCTTTTCAGGAAAAAAGGGTTTTTGGGCTATTTGCATGACTGGTTCTAAACCATAAAACCCTTTTTGAGCCGATTTCAGACTAGAAGGTAGGGGATGTTCAAAAATTTGGGAGTGAAGTGATGAAGTGCAAAATAGAAGGCAAGGACAGTTGGCAAGAGTAGAAGGCATTTGTTGGTACGGTAGTTGTAAGTGTCGTCATCATCATGGGGAGTCTATGACTTTTGGAATATTTAGGTCGAATAAGGGTCCTGTAATTCGAAGTGAAAACGGGTGATAAATGCAAAAGGGGAAAAAATCACATAAGCTCTTCTAATCGTCCAGTGAAATACTTTGGGCCGCATTTTTTCGCATTTCTTCCACAGCCTTTTCGAGTAGACTGCCGAGGAAGTTTTCGCTGGCAGGCTTTTTATTGTTATCACGGATTACTGGCGCAGGTTTGGTCATGAGCAGGTCGGTCAGATCCTGGAGACAGATAGACATTAAGTATTTTTTTAAATTGTAGTTACCTTTTTCCAATTGCCAGGCAAATCCATAGTTGGTTGAGGGGTTTGCGGGACCTTCCCTTCCTTCATAGAAGCCTTAAAAGCAACCTGGTTAATCTGTGGTCCCGGACAGCACGATTTTTCCTGCATAATTAAATAGCTACATACCTTTTGCCTAGTACGATAGTTGTGGAACCAATTTGAGACAGTCCGAGTACTAAGCCCCAGCTTATTCGCCAGCATCTCAATCGTCCTGGCAGCCGGATGCTGCTCTTGCGCAAATACATAGCGCAGCGCTTCTCTTTGCTGCTCCGTTATCACAGTTCTCTGCATTTTTCTGGGTGTCGAATCCGTTCCATCATCATCCTCAGAGAATCGCTTGGATCCGATCAACGATCCCATTTTCATATCCTCGTAATCCTAACACGATGTTTTTGTTTGAAATCTTTTTGAGACTGACCTCCTCTTTCTCGGTTTGAATTGGGAGAAACATGACGGCAACCTCTTCTCCAGGTAGGATATCAGCTGTAGCGGTCGCTTCAGAAGATCCTCTTTCTCCATTCCAGTCCGATTCTATCGTTTCTTCAGAAGAGCTTCTCTCCGGGTGTATCTCACGAATGACCGGCTTTGAGCCTTCGTCTAAAAAGGAGTCATAATTTTTGAAAATTGTAAAAGTTACCCACCATCATCCTTGTCTTTATCGCTGTCCTGATCTTTTGCCGCTTCAACTGCCACCTCATCCATGAAAAGTTTCATCCGGATGTATGGTTCACGTCCTTTTTGGGTTAGCATATACCAGGCCTAATATTTATTTTTAAAAGATATTATGAATTTTGCCCTACCTTTGGCCTGGCCAACAAATCCGAAACCGAACCTTGGCTTAGACCAAGCACCGATTCACCAAATTGGCGTTGCGAAATCGTATTCACCATCAAGAAGTCTTTCACCTAAAAGAATCCATTTTATTTTTTGACTCATCCTAAAGCATGTTTATTTTCGAGAGCTAACCTGTCGAACCACCTCTTCTGTATTTATAATCCCAAAGGCTTCAAATTGCTCTTGGGTGATTGTTTGCAGCCCGCTTTTTACCCGATTGTTCATCACCTAAAAATGTTGACAATCAATAACCTATACTTCTCGGAATTCTTACCTGAATAGCATGTTTGCTCGGTAATCCCTGAACTGTGACACCACCATAAGTGATATCTTCTAAACGTTGTAAGGAGGAGGGATAGGTTCGAGAATTGATCGCGCGTTCGATGTTGTTTTCCTGAAATTTCTAACATTTTGGGAGTTTTTGCTTCCGCCCCGATGGGCTCTCTTTTTTATTTCACTATACTTTTTAATTTCAACATTCGACTAACCTGTTCCCTCAATTTCGCCAACTCATTTTGGAAAATCGACATTATCTTCTCCTTCGGAATGTCATCATGCCGCCAACGGCTTGTAGACCCACGATTTGGATTTGGACGAGGCTAGAAAAAGGGCAATTAATGAATTTTTAAGAAGGTAAATTACCTTTGAATCTCCATTTGTCTCTACTTTTGGAGGTTTTGGAGCGGGTGATGGGGTGGGTACAGTGGTTATTTGCTCAAGAGGGTTCGACGTTTCCCAGAGATCTTCCGGTTTTGGATGATCCATCCTCAATTCTTAAAAAAATCCGACTTGCATGGATCAAGTGCAACTAACCGTCACTCAATATTCTCCTCGGACTAATTTGACATAAAAGTTGCACGGCAGCCACATCAGAGATCCAAGAGTATATCCTCCGAAAAGCTTCCCTCCCCTTGTCAGTCAATTTGCACCATGGCCTCGGTTTGGACAGCAGCTCACTCAGCGAGCCTTGCGACTAAAACGATTTTTCATCTTTCTACAAACAATGATACTTACAATTACCTGGTTCATCACAAATTTCGCAAAGAGACGTTGGCCAATGTTGTAGCCGGCCATTAATCGTTTGCATTGTCGAGCAACTTCAGCAGTGTTCAGGGCACGGGACCCGAGTTTCCGTGTGTTTGAAGCGATCAGAGCCTAAAATCCGTCACTTATTTCAGACTACTTTTATTTATAACTTGCCGTTAGTTCATTGATAGCCTTCACTTCAGATGGATGCCTTGGAGTCTCATAAGTATGATTACTCAAGTTGCTGACGTCACACTAAACCGTACAGTAGATAAAAATCATTTTGTCAGGTTGCCTTGTCATCATCATCTCGCAGCAAATCAAATGAAGTCCCACTTGTCATCAATGGCGAAGAAGGCAATGGCGGGCTTCCATTAATTGAGTTCTAATTCATTTTTGATCCAAATCTTAACTGATAATTACCATTAAAATAGTTAGAATCGATTGATGATCATCTTCTCTTGTTGTTGAGGTACCATTGGTGGTTTTTGGATTCACATCTACTACCGTTGCTTTACCGGACAAAAACTGTCGGCTCAGATCGGCGGTCACTAAAAAAATTTAGCTGTTGACTTTCCTCTTCGATATCAGTAATCGAAAATTTCATACTTGACTACGGCAATAATATACTACACAACGGAAACTGGCAGCCATTTTAAATTTCCACGGCCATGCTAATCTTTGGCAAATTAGGACTTTTGGCAATATAATTTTCATTCTCTTCAATGTTTCTTTTTTGAATATCGTAATAAAGCACAAGCACTGTACGAACAACGGTCATCTCAGCAAGCAGCCATCGTACGGAATCTCGGTCCAGAAGTCAGATGCACACGATCACCAAGGAGAAACCACGAAACGACATTCAGCCCTAAAATATACAGGCTATGCGCCCGCGACTTCAAGAGCCACGCATGCATTCAGAAGCGCAAGGGTGCTTTCCCCAAGCCACCAACCGTTTCGCTGTTCTTCTTGATCTTCATCGCCATAATTTGCCGTTTGCATCATCATGTCTAGCGATTTTAGAGTGGCTTCGAGGGCTGACGGGATTGGCGCTTCTTTCCCTTCCTCTTCAGCGGCTTCCATTTCCCTAAAAATGTATCCAGTTGCTGCCAAAAACTAGGCAAACCCACTTTTTCTCGTTTTGAAGGTCATATTCGGTCCTTTTGTCGAGTTCCTGATTCAACGCATCGGTCAAAACCTTGTACCTTTCCAGCTCCTAAGAAAAAATTTAGGATTTATTTTCTTTCCCCTACCGCTTCCAGTTCATCGATTTTATCCTGTTGCTCCTTGGCGTCAACTTCAATCTTCAGGTTCAATTTGCGGTTGTCTTCGACCAATTTTGCGATCTGAAACCAGAAATTTTAATCCAAACGGTGTGTAAAATAATTAACCTCATGGGTTTTCAAATTTTGAAAACATACCGTATCATCCTTTTCCTTCAACAAACTTCCCAGGGCTGCGATATCAGCCAGGCCATGCTTTGGCCGAGCCCGTTCCGTCGCCAGTTCGGCGCTCAGCTTTCGCAATTCCGCTTCATGCGTTGCCTAAACAACAAAATGGTTAATTTTATTCGCGTTTCTCACAATGAGTTGACGAAGCCGTAGCAGTTCTGGTATATCATCCTGGGAGGACCGAGCAATGTCGGGCCTCCGGATTTGAGCCTCCTTCATGGGGGCCGTGCCGCTTCGGCGTCTGAAATTGGCTTTGTTATCTATGGGGGTGGAGGAGGTGTTAATTATTGAATGGAAGTGAACAGGGTTGCAGAGGTATGGAAGGAAGGTCTAATATTTGCAGTCAGAATAGTATAGTGTGAAAAAAAGTGTAGCGTGTCTAATCTTGGTGTGGCGTCACTTCGTCTCTCCGAAGCCGAATTCTAGCTGGAGCTCGAGCTTGGTCTCAACGGTTTGAGGTCAATTTGCCCCACCCCGAGAAGTGATCAATAATCCAAACCAATTAAAAAAATTGACGTGTATTTCTAGAGTGGCGACGACTTCCTATTAAATAGTAATTCTTCAAAAACTCATTTGAGTACGCGAGATTCTGATATTCCGGCCACCTTCGTGTTTTGAAATGTATTAGAAAAAGGATCCGCGCCCCAAATTAGATACTGTCACAAATTTACAGCAAAGTTGGTAAGGTAGTTTTCGAGATAGTTTTTCGAGGTAGCCAACTTTAACGACCATTTAAACCCCAAAAATGAATTTTTTAAACATCCAAAACTATGCAGCCCTACTAATTCGATCATGCTCTTTCACATGGCATCGAAAAAACGGGGTCGAAAAAAACGGTGACAAGCGATACTGGGGACTGTTCGGGTGACTCGCGGATGGCCTTTTAACCCTCCCAAGCCTCCGAATCACCCCGTGAAAAGCTGATCGATCAACAATGAAGTCAAGGAAAACGATGACACGATATGCGTACCAAATATGGGTCCTTTCTAAAAGGGAGGCTGATCGATCGGCTGGGCCACAAGACCCAATGTTTGCCCAGAAAAGGAAAGGGGGAATGGATGTCCGGCTGGCCTCTAGGGGGTAGGAACGGGTGGTTGAGGGAGAAGGGATCTAGATCGGCAGATGGTCGTCCCGGGTGGCTGGAACGGCTGTCTAGGGTTCTATTCATGGATCGATTTGGGAATGGGGACGATGTCGAGGGGCATGGTAATTGTGAGGGGGATAGAATAGCCGGTTTAGAAATGCAAATTTTCGGTGGATTCGTGAACACGAAAAACCAAATCTTTGGCGAAAATCATGTCCAATCGGTAGGAAATCGGTATATGCTACAATAGCTACCGTACTATTTGCCAGTTGTCAATAAGCATGAAAAGTATGATTATTTTGCGCGACGCGACGTGCCTAAAAGTATAGTTCCATGTCACTGACCTTGAATACTTGTCCCTAAAAGCATGCTTTTCTTATGTTTTTCAAAGAAAATATAAAGCAAAAGCGTATACCTAATCCAATTATACCACCAAAACAGAATGTCAAATATAATCCCCATCAATCCTCTAGGGAGAACCTAATTACCACTAGAAAAGACAGCTTCGTCTGCACTTTTTCAGAAATTACGGTATCCAGCAACAATTTCTAGCAACCCATGATTGTCCCCAAGGAAGAAGCTCAAGCCAGCCTTGCTTTAGATTTCGCGCTCAAGCCATGATCAAACGATCAGATCAACCCTTGATCAACACTATCAAACATAATCCATCAATATTACAAATAAAAGGAATCGTGGGGTGATGCAGTCTGGACATCATGTGGCCCTAGTGGGCCCCACTCAGAGAATCGATATCGGCGATTGGGAAGGGCGGGCAGGCAGGGCAGGCCATGGGCCCCAAACATGGGCAAAGGGGTGCTGGGCCCGCCATGGCCAGATCGATCGACCGGGCCATGGGCCACAGCCCCCAATGGCCACACCGCCATAGAAGGGTAGGGGAGCCATAGGACCCACCCATGGGCCCACGAATCGATCACCCATCGGCTGTGGGCCCGTCTCCCCCCCTTCCTTTCTACTCGCTTCTCCATGCTCCTTATATGGGGTTGGGTCGTGCTATTGGGGGAGACTAGAGATGTTAGGCAGGCAAATACAATGTCGGAGTTATGGATCGTATTCCGATACTCTATCGGAGTCAAAAATTTGCTGATTCTGGCAAGATCATCTTGTTCGGGTCCAGACCGAAACCAGGCTAATGCGACGATCGGTTTGGTGAAGCGGAACACCTCGGAATAATAAGCTAATAAGCTTTAGATGCATATTGTTTTTATGCAATACATTTATAGAGAAACCTTAAATCGCTAGAATTTTTCAAATTTGCGCCGATCTTTGGCCTCATTCTTTAAATAGCGCTGCTTTTTCATATTTCCATACCATGTGTTCTTGAAATTAAAATATGCTTATTTTTCGACTGATTAGCTCGTCGGGATCAGCGAAAGCTATTTCGAACCGTCCCCTCACTTTTGCAAGTTCGATATGCCAATCGGTCGAATCTACCAAAAGTAGCCATCGTATTCGTATGCGTGGCATCTCTAGGGGAGACTGAACCGGGAGTGGGGGTCGAGACCGAGCGGAGCGACAACGACGGCTTCAATTCCTTGACTGGCATGCCCACATCGCTCACGCATCGATCTAGGGACGGGCCCACAACTGGGACGGGCCTTCTCTACTCGGTCTTTTCTTCTATGGGAGGGGGGTGATCGACGGCTTCACCCGGAAAGGAATGGGCTACCCTAGTGGCTGCTGGGCCCCTAGAGATCGCAATGATGGGGTATTGGAAGATGGGGTGGATTGGGAAGGGAAATCGATCCACTCATGGGATTTGAAGTTATGTGTAACACCTGATTGTTTGACTTATAGATTAATAGAGTCTAGTATTGAGTACGCGCAGTAATAACTGAAAAGTAGGTGTAATAAATGTCCTGATGTGTCTATAAATGATCGACGTGTGGAAAACTAGTGGGCAACGTGAGCCATCAGCGTCAGAAGCTCACCCCTCACCCACACCCCCAACCAATATCGGGCTGAAAGCATACCCAGGCCCGTACGAGGGGGGGGGCACCGGGGGCACGGTGCCCCCGAAATCGGTCGAGGTCCGAAAAGTTCATAAGGGGGGACCCTTATGTTTTTTTTCGCAAAAATTTTTCTGCCTGCGGCGCTGTTTATCACTGTTTCGAAACGATTTTTACTTCTAGAAAACCCATTTTCCTAAAATTTTTTTGCCTGCGGCACCCGTTTTCATTAGTGCACCATTTTTGCTGAGCAAAATTTCGCTTGCGCGCGCCGTTTCCGATGTGTTTTCACACGAATTTAAGCGTTTCGAACGCGGTTTTCTAAATTTTTTCGCCTGCGGCGCTGTTATTGTCGCTATTGTCGAATGTTTTGAAAGTGGCGACCGGGGGGGGGAGGTCGCCAAAAATTTTTTGGGTGGGTGCCCCCCCCCGAAATCTCGGCTCCCGTACGGGCCTGAGCATACCCCCCAGAGCAATCAACCTCCCCCGTCATCTTTTACCCGCGGGATGTCAGCTGATTCATCCCACTAGACGCGATAATTGTGGGTAAGGGGTTGTGGAATGGAATCGAATCGAAAAACAAGAGCAATCGAATCGAAAGTTGAGAAACTATAGTATCCCTCAAAAAGGTTCTATCGGTTCGGAGACATGCCTAATTTTTACGATTGAGGTATTTATCAAAAAGCGCTCTTCATTTTTTTGCTATGCGCTTTAATTCGCGATTTTCATCACCGAAACCATGGCACAAACACGATAGATTATTGAGTACAATCCACACCTTTAGTGGAACTAATTACCAGTGGAAAAATGAGTCTACAAGATCAATTGGCGTTGTTCTCTGTAGTCATCTAGGGGTTGCTAATGACTCACATCATGATCAACTCGTCATATGAGGGCTAGGATACTGATTTGTCATGGATCATTAAGACTGATCATCAAGGATAGGGTAGCTCAAAGCAAGAAAATTAGATCAGGCTCATTTTTCCATTCCTGATTTGGTGCGTCATAATATTATCTTAAAACCCCCTCAAAAACAGGTACCTAGGATTATCTTTATAAATAGTACTTTCTAAATCAGTAAACCTAAATAATTTGAATCGACTCACAATGGCTCCGCGAAGTTTGTACCTACATGGGAATTGGATAGAGGTAAAGATTAACCCTATTTTTATTATTCCTTCTTAATTCATAAGAAAGGGTTTTCTCTAGCTTAACCGGAAGCAATCCGGAACTGGGGCCGCTGGTGGATCTTTTAGTCAAAAAGCTACCCGTGTCGGCTTTTCAGTGGCCCAGGTGCGGGACCTTCTATGGGGTGCCAGGTGCGCACCCATACCCCCCGGACCTACGGTATAATGGGGCTCGGATTAGCCTTCTCATCCAACCCCATCTAGGATCAAGTCTAATCCATAACCAGACTGGATGAAGCGTCTTATACTGATTTAAATTATTGCAGCAAACTTACATAGATCAGCATGGCGCGTTGATTGAGTCGCGGGACATTGAATAGCATTTCGGAGCAGGTTACCTAAAATCGCGATGCCCATGATTATGATTGTTAGGTTACTCGCAGTCTGCAATTCACTGTTCGGCTTTAACGTCGTAAAATAGCCTTCGGATCCGGGATTTCTTAGTATTTGCTTGTGTTCTTAGTACAACAGAAATCAGCCAGCTCAAAAAAAAACGTTTTCATGCAAATTTTTGTGCTTAAGACAATATATCGCAAGGCACACTAACAGAACTCATTTCAAATTCGTGTTATCAACGTGCATATTAGCGTTGATAATAGCAAAAATCTCATCTTTCAAAAGATATGAGGGCCAAACACCGACGCTTACTTATCTTAGACTTAATTATCATTTCCAAATCCCTCAAAAACACTCACTTTTGATTGTTTTTCCTTGTCTATTGGTGTGTAGAGCGGTATTGATAATCGGGATACATATCGTGTTCCCAAGAACCAAATTGCCGCAGTGCACAGGTGCAATCTGAGCGTGCACAGGAGTGCAGCGTTGTTACCCATCCGCCCACCAAGTAGCCCACCCTTACCAATACATTGCATTTTTGTATTTATAGCCGAAACCACGCAAATAATTAAGTGGATAACCAGGCAATCCTTGAGTTAATATCCTATTGGGCACTCTTGTGTTTTATGGAGGCTTATGCTGTTTTAACTCGCTTAAACCGGGTTATTCCTGTTTACAAATTTTTGTTGTTTGGAACTTTGGTCTGTATGTTCAAATATCAATATTTAGAATACTTATTGCTATATAAGGTTTGCGGTATATTCTTTGCTTACAAGCCGTTGCTCGCAAGCCGCTCCCAGAAGTTACGCGCTTCCTCATACATTTTGAATGAAGCCTTATTCCTTGTGCTCCTTAAAAACCTATAAAAATATTCAGGATATCGTTGTAGCTTGTTTTCATTCACGAAAATTTTATATGACATTGAATGCTAGACAATAACTTTAAGTCTTCTAGAAAGTCTTTCTTTTATACCTTACGGCCCCTAATTTTGCATACAACTTTTCAAAGGCAATTTGCATCGAATGAAATATATTTTTCAGTGCCGACACCTCAATGCGGGAAGGGTCGTGATGTCAGAGGATGAAAGCCATCTAACAGGGGCACCGTGGAAGAATAATCTCTATCTACTCCAAGAACAGGCCCCTGTGCCCCGGGTCGTCAAATGTCGCAGGTAATATTAGAGCAACAGATCTAATGCTATACAAAGGATTCAAATGCAATAAAAGAAACGTATTTAGTTTTCCAGGACCAAGCAAGTAGCTCCGATTTTTAGATACTTCGAACATCGGCCCCCTCAATATGGCGAGGAATTCCATGGCCTCATCGAAAGAGCCGATGCTGAGGTGATGCTCAAAGAAGCCGGCGAAGGAGCGTATTTGGTTAGAGAATCAAAGCGGTAAGTTTTTACGCGTTTCGAAACTACTCGAAACCTTCTTCCTAGAATTTAGAAACTACAAAATACTAAAAAATGAAGTCAATTAAAAAATATTTCTAGATCCCTCTCGGCCTACACATTATGTATCATCTTCGAGGGACATGTGCTCAACTACAAGCTTTACTATGACGGGGCGCACTACGTCGGGGAAAAACGGTTTGTTTACGAAAGATAGCGAATGAAAAGAACAAAAATGGGGAGTAAACGATAGAGGGCAGTAGAGGGCAACGAATCGTTTTGTAAACTAACTGAAAAAAGAACCAGCTTGTCCCAAGATAGCTTCTGTATTACACGAAATTCTAAAAGTAAATTAATGTAGTTCTTTGATAAATAAGCCTCATTAATTGGCTATATTCCATATAGCAAAACATTTCTGTGGTGAACATTCGTGTGTTTTGCTTAAAACAAGGGTCATAGTACGCCCTGCACAATTTCTTTGGACCTTGAACCGACCCGACCAGTTGTTGATCATTATGCCCTGCCCCATTCTGGAAATAACAAAAAAAGGTTCCCGCATCGCCGCAGAAGCGCTTCTAGAATTTTTGTTGGTGCCTTTAAAATCAATGGTTTTAATTCTTAAGACCAAAAATAGAAATTCGAAGCGTAAAGTATTGGATGTGGACAGCGAAACATCCCCCTGTATTGATCTTGAGCGCGCTCTTTCTGAATCACAACCATTTTTTCCTGTCGCGTGCCCGTTATGGAACATGAAAAAGGGGGGAGGGGGAGTGAAAGCATCCTCATTTTTTCATTCATTTCTTTAAAACTATTTAAAACCTTTTTGTTACAAGAAAACTATATTAAACCCTATAAAACCTATAAACCATTTTCCAGCTTTGACAATATCTACGACCTGGTTGCGGACGGGCTTATTTGTATGTACGTCGACAAATATGCTTGTGAATACATCCAGAAAATGACGGAAGAAGTTGTCTACGAGCAAAGCCCATACACTGTTTATAATCGATCTGTTGGGGTTGGTGGACAAAATAAAACCCGAAAATTTGGTTTAGAAAACTCGTCAAGTTGCTCCACGACCGCATGTCTTCACGCAGCAGACGTTTAAAATGCCACATTACTGTGATTATTGTCGCAATTTTTTGTGGGGATTGGTTCAACAGGTTTGTCGAAGGGTTGGAGGATCAAAATTAATGATTTTTAGGGTGTGAGATGCGAAGATTGTGGATTTGCCGCGCATAAGAAATGTTCGGAGAAGGCGAAACCGGATTGTCAGCCGGGTGCAAAGTATGTTCTTTAATTTTTTCGTTGAATTAAAATCTATTAGCATACGCTTAAGTAAATATTTATATTTATAATGTTAAAATCTGCATCAATTTTTTCAGGTATATCAAACGCATTTTTGCCATCGATATCACTACCCTATGCATAGCCCACAAAACGGAAATCCCCGTAATCGTCTCTTCTTGCATCCAAGAGGTATCATATCTTTTTCCAAAAAAAATTACGTAAATTCAGGTTGAATCTCGTGGATTAAAAGTCGAAGGAATCTATCGGGTATCAGCTTCTCACGAACAAATGGAACGGCTCAAGCGGCAATACGACTCACATTTCTATGTTAATTTAGCTCAGGCAGGCTTTGGAACTAAAGTCGAAAATCAAGAGTTTTATAGGTCGAAGACATCCACACGATTTGTGGCCTGTTGAAACTCTATCTCCGGCTTTTGCCCCAGCAACTCGTTCCGTTTCCGGTCTACCGGGGCTTGTTGCAAATCTACGCCGAGTCGAATAGCCCTCAGGATATCCGAAAAGCTATAAGGTCCGCATTAAAAAGCTAGCAATTATTTTTTATGTATTTTTTTAGAAATGCCCTCTACGATCTCCCTGAAACCAATGCAAAGACGTTGAAAGTGTTATTGATGCATTTAAATAAGGTATGAATTGAAGACTCTTTATTCAAAACCAAACTAATAATTTACAGGTAGCCGAACATTCCGCTGACAACAAAATGACGGCCGAAAACCTGTCGACCATCTTCTCACCAACACTCTTCTGTACTGGGATAACCCCAGCATTGCCTCAACAACAACATATGCTCCTGCACACATTAATAGCTCAGCCACAACTTGTACCGGTTAAGCTTGCCGACAAAAATTGAATAGGCCTTTAGCTTCTTTATTTATATATTCTAATCCGACCAAAAGCACGTCAATTTTCCAAAACACCTCTATGTGCATTCCACCACCTTCCCTAGCATAGCTTTATTCTCCGGTCAGTATCCCAACAATATTTATCTATTTGCCAACATAATATTGTAAATTCATAATCTCATGGCTCATTTTTTGAAATTTCAATTTTTCGAAATTTTTTGGCGTAGCTTTTGGGATTTTTCGAAAGGTTTTTAACGTAAATTTCGGCCTTTGAACCCAAACCCCGTTTTCGGCCAATCTACTTCATAATAACCTCAGCCTTTCCAAATCATCATTCTCACCATAATACGGCTCCCCCTACCCCACTCGTCCAGGAATCCTGTCTATACATAATGCTCCTCCAAAAAACCCCGGCTGCCTTGCATTTACCCACACTTTTATTGTATTGCTACAAATATCGCTGGTGTGCTGAATTGTTCTTTCTGTGGTGCTTTACGCATAAAGATTCTTATTTAAATGTTTATTGCCATTTAAATCGTTTTGACGATTTTCAGTATCTAAATCAAGGCTTTGTCTGTCCGCCGGTTTCTATTAACGCTGGATTTTAGGGTAAAAATGACCATCACTCCAAAGACGGAGCTACCGTCTGATGAAGAGCTGACGGTAATTTTCCACTAAGAGCCACTACTGTAAATATAATTTATTTACTATGCAAATTTATGTAAACATAATTTATTTTTTAGGTCAGCCAGGAAATTACGCTCTCCACCCCATGGTTGAAGGCTGTTGCTCCCTATATGGCAAAGAGCTGTGAGAAGACAATTAATGTAACCTTTTAATGATAGAAATCTATCTTTATTCAAAGTAAACACGCTATATTTTGTCAAGCAAAAAATAACTTATGTTTAGGAATACATGCTCCGCCGTCGTGAGCTCGAAGATCCGCGAGCCGTTCTGAAGGAGGGGCGTGCGGTGACGGACTGTGGCATCCAATTCTTGCTGGTTAGTATTAATTACTTTTTCGGATTCAAATTAATTTAGGCCCTGAAAAAGGACTGCAAGACCGAGACCGACTCCCTTGGCCAGTGCATTGACCAGTCAAGCGCCAAGTTGTACATTAGCCAGTAAGTATCCCCAATTTATCTTAGAATTTATTCAAACTTTGGCTTGATGGAAATATAGAAATTTTCATAATAAAAAAATGTTAGCTGCCGTAAGGAACAGAAGGTGTTGGACGCGTGTGTGCAGAAATATTTGAACATTGAGCGACCGGCCCTGGGATACTTCAGGTAAATTTTTGTACAACTTATACTGCAGATACAATATTGGGCATTAGGAAAAATTATGTATATATACCAAATTTTTTGGCACTTTTGCATTATCAGGGGGTGGACAGCTAAGCGAGAGGACCAGCTTTTTCCTTAAGATCCAGTTTTCTTAATCAAATAAAAAACAGTGTTTCTAAGCTCTTTTGGCTAGATAAACGTAACAAATGAAAATGTTTGTATAAACAACAAAAAATTATCTATTGTTGAACAAGGATTTTCTAGCTTTTTTAGCCATTCTCTGGTTTTCCACATCGAATATAGTGAATTTTTCTAAAAACTCTATTAGAACAATTACCAAGCATTTCTGGGTTTCCTAGAAAAAATTAGGTTCCCCCACCCGAAGAACCTCATTTTTAGCTCTCCGCACGTGCACGAAAGCAAGGCGGAATTCGTACCACCAGTTCAACGGGACTACAGGGCTGAAGCGGCAAAGGTGCGTTCTAAGAACTGTTTAAACCTTAGAAAATACAGATGACCTCTTCCGATCTTTTCTTTATTCTTTAACAAACAAGTAAAAAAGAAACTATATTTCAGGTGCTAAACGAGCTCCCCTCCGACTACCACCTCCGAAAGGACTACAAAAAATACAACGACTGGAAGGTCAACATGTGGGAGAGCTAAATACACCCTCAAACCACTGCCATTACATATTATTTAGTGCCCGAGCGTAGCCATACGTTTGCTTCGGTTTCGACGCCGATTTAGTTTTTGTCTTTGTTTTCATTGTTTTATAAGGCTGATAAATTTTATACTGGTAATGCAACAATACGGGAAGTACAATGTGACACCAATATGACAGAATTTAGTGATCAAAAATCAAGCTGGCTTTTTCAATACCGAAAGCCTACCGAGCCACCCACTCTGACAGGATTTGGTCGAAAATGTGTCACGTCAGACACGACCATCCAAATGTTATTAAATGTCTGTTTGCCATTTTGCCCTCAAATAAGGTCCACGTAAAAAAGCATCCTGTTCGGATGGGATATTGCATTGGGGTTACCCCCCAAATTTGATCATTTTGAGCGGATAGCCACTTATTTTCAAAAAAAATGCCTGCTCCATCCTGCTCCACTTACTGTGTATTTCTATTGGGTTTTGTTCTGGGCACCACTCTTAGCTTATTATTACTAAGTGATCAATATCAATTGTAGGTTTAACCTAATAATAGAAATATTTAGTTTTTAGAGCGAATTATCTATCCAAAAAATATGAGCAGCCAATCCAGAATCGGTATTGGCAAAGCCGGATTGGTGCAATTGAGGCTACTACCAATAATGCAGAACTTATTACAGATACAACAGGTCCTTTTCGACGTTGCAAGTTCAAAATTAATTTTAGAGAATCTCAACACCACATTAGCTCAAGAAATTTCGAAACGTGTACGTGTACTGTGCTGGATTTTGACGGGACCCCAGTTCCATAAAACACGGGCAATTCATATACAAGTACCTGTCATATCGTGAAACAAATGAACTTTAGAGCACCTGGGGGAAGCGATGCGATAAAATACTTTTTATGTCCAGTGGCAACGATACTGAGCTGCCGATTGTCAATTTGGGGGTGAGGATTTTTAATGCCGCTAAATCACACCCATTTAGGTTGCTGAAGGACGGAATCACTTATGGGAAAAGACAAAAAAGGCATTCATCCACATCCATAAATATCATATTGTTGGTTAGCCGCCAAACCTTCCAATGCGCCCCTTTTAGAACGACTATGATTGGTTTTTAAAGGCTGATGATGATACCTATGTAATAATGGAGAATTTGAAATACATGCTGATGTCTAAAGACCCAAATGTCCCGATTAATTATGGGTGCGTTTTCTTTGTAAATTTAACTAAAACCAGGGTTGAAAAGCCGCTTCGCGACTTTTTAACCCTGACCCCTGTCTAATCCTATGATGTTCTTTATTTTGCATAATTGTGCCCCAATTCCGATGGCAAAAAAAATAAAAAATGCTTCCTTCGGGCCTTTATATAGACTACTGCAACTTCCGACGTATGCTAATTTTCTCCTATCAAAGTGGCTGGCCAAATTTTTACGAAAAACCTAATTTTAATGTCAAAAACAAAATATTTTACAAAATCTGATATGTGTGCCGTCATCTCGAGACCATTACACATCTAATGATGTATCAAACATCTCCTTAAACCCCTCCCCTCTTGAGTTATCCTCCGGACACGCTGACGGAAGTTGCATGCAAAGTGGCATACACACACACTGACAATATTTTTTTTATATATAGTAAGATTTCAGATGGGAATTCCACGAGCGATATCGGAGTGGCGTTGGTGTATTGAGTGGAGGGGCTGGCTATGTGCTTTCGAGAGCAGCCGTTGATCTGTAGGTGAAAATCTTTGTATTTTGGCAATATATTAATCTTAGCTTTGTAACGCGAGCCCTGCGATCAGGCCGAAAATGTCGTAGAAGACATAATAGTGGATCTGAAGACGTCGAGATAGCACGTTGCTTGGCGGATGTAAACGTTTTGCGTGGTGATAGTCGAGATCAATCTGGGAAGCAACGGTATGCATTGTTTAAAATTTTTCAAATCTTTGAAAGTATGGTTAAATACCAGATTTTCAGTTTCTTACCAATTTCCCTGAATGCGGCTCTGGAACAACCAACCGAACGATGGTTCATCCATCACTCTAAATATCCTTTTACAAAGGCTTGTTCCATATTCAAGACTTTATAACCATTTTTAGGATTATATTTCCAATTTAACGATAGCCATCCACTATGCAAACGCAGGAATGTTGCATACCCTCGAACATTTATTGTATAATATGGACGTGTATGGGGCCAATACCCATATACGGTAAGGGCAACCGAAAATAGTTTTACATCGTGCTCTAAAAATATTTATTCCGATTTTCCAGAAACACCTTTGAAGCCGAAACAATTTTGGGTGCAGCATGGGAAAGCTCGCGGACAAACATGGGAGCGGAAGAGCCCGAAACAAGCTCCACCACCCGATACATTTGATCTGAATTTCCCAAACAACAACACAACCGGGTAGATGTGGAATAAATCGATGACTAATAAGCCCCCGTCTCCCATTCTGGCACATCAAAATCAATCGATTGACCGGTCAACGAAAACAGACGCAAGGAAAAGCGCCAGGGTCGGTGGGACGCGATCGTTTTCATCGGGTTATTGGGTCTGCAAGGGTCTCTCAGACAAATTTAGATTGTCAAGCTGCGTGAGAATGCCTTAGCTATGTTCTCGGACTAAATTTAACATATTTTTTTCCGGAAAAGGCATAAAATTAATGTTAATAAAATTTAATAGCTTTTTTTCCTCATAATGAAACACCAGAGAAATAGTTTATACGCGCAGTATGGTATGGGAGTAAGGGTCCAGTTGTCAACCAACCACGGGTCAATCCGGTAATGGCTCAGGGTGGGCCATATGCGATAAAGCACCCGTTAATCCACCAGCTCTACCCACCAGTCACACCCTCCCCCTCCCTTCAACCAATTACCCGTGTCATACCATAAAATTAATTTTATATAACATAATTTTTTCAAAACATACATTTTTTGGTTGCAGTCCCCCTAACAGCATATCAACAGACAATCATGGTAGTCGGATCTCCCGAATTATTCAGGCACTTGCTGGCTCCTTTAAAAAGGCATGTTTCCAACGTCTTCTGGAACAAATCCAGTACCCGTAATCAGCAAGCATTCTTGGTGTCGACGTCAGAAATTTCAGAAATGGACCATAATCCATGAAATTATCCGGATTCTGGATCGCGACGCAGCCGCCCAGCGTTCAGATTTCGTGCCTAGGTTTTTGATAAAAATATGTCTTTAAACCAACTCCAGAGCAGAAGTAAGGCAAAGAAATTGGTAGTTTAGGAACTCAGCTGCACAACAACGCCCCTTCACTTACTCATTTGATTTCAGCTTTTTTTAATTCCGCTTCCATCCCTAGCTTTTCAATATCTTGCTGGCCCCGGCGACCTGCTATATTTTAGAATCAGCCATATTGCATATTTTAACCGGCTTTTTCTGTTCTGCCAGCTGCACTAAACAAGATATTCCGCCTGATTTTAGATCTCTATTACCTGATTTTAGAGACCAATCGGCCATGGATGATGCCAACGGTAGGGTTCCAGACCATTCTGCCGCCGACATGGAGCTAGATAAAAACACTGGGCCAGTCGAGGTAAGTCCCCGATAAATCTTGGAGCAATATATTTCAGTCCGTGCTCAAAAAAGGGGAGACGAGTGAAAGGCCTAGTATTGAAGACGGAATAATGGTTAGTTTTAATCTCAAGAAAGCCTTACTCTATCTATTTTGATGATAACTGCATATAATTTAACTACCAAAATTTATTCATCGCTAGGCTTATGGTTTGCTAGGTGATGAGAGTCGTTTTCGAAATTAAAACAGTCGGGGTTTTTTTCCAGGCTCCACTGTACCCTGGCGAGCCACATCCGATCTTGGCGTTAAAATACCGCGACACAGATAATCCGGGAAACGGTAAGTTATTTTTTACTCAATACTTTTGTCTGTTTCAGGAGAAGGCTATGTTGACCTGCGGAACGTGAGGAGATCAGACGCAAGGAAAATGGTATACTTTATTAATTGGGCTAATCGACACCTGGTTTTAGTCCTTCAAAAAAATCGTTTCAGCTCATCGAGCAGATTAAAAAAATGTTTCCGGACAAAAAACCCGGATGGATGGAAACGGCAAAAAAAATATTGGAAGCCCCAAATTTACGGATCGTGGAGAAGCATTACCTGGTCAGATTGAGAATCTTGCAAGCGGAAGATAAACTTTTAGCTTCCCAATCCGTTCCTCCCAAGGCTGAACGGTCCTGAAGAGGTTCAGGATGGCGACGCAAATCTGGAAGCAGTCAACTTTGCCGGCGTGGTAAGGTTCAGAGTTTCCAAGAATTTATAACAACATTTTTGAAGGCTCCAAACAGTATACACCGCATCCAAACGTCGTCTTAATTATTATGTATTACTCCAAAAAACACACCTAAGAAGCTCCTTTCAGCATCCCGGACCTTCCTCGGTCAACAAGATTCCCAAAGATCAGGCATACCAACCTAATGACGACCAACAAGCGCAAGAGCCCCAACACCATCAACAACAGGTTTTTCTTTTCTTTCTCTCTTCTGCTCAACACCATGTTTAGCCCGGAATTTTGATATTTTAGATACTTCTCTATTGAATTAATAATACTAAGCTCTAAAATTACAGTACGCCGTCGTTCCACAATGCCCTATCTACCCTCCTCATCTGCCAACTAATGATCCGACTAGCTCATACTATGGCCAACCTTTGCATTATGCGCCAATCTATCAGGTTACACACCTTCTTACATTAAAAATAAATTCCAGCACCGCGCACCGTATTCTATCGTATTTATATGTCTGTGCTTGGATCGCGTTAATTGCAAATTTCAGGACCCTCAGATCGTATACGCACAACAGCCCGTCTTCCTTATGGCTCCCTTCCCGAATCCGCAAGATGAATATCAGGTAGGAAATTTGTTATTGAGGCCTTCCTAGTTAAATTTAGAACTCTCCATTGGTGACAATGATGCACTTCATTAAAATAGTATAAAAAATAATTAGGTTGAGGTGCTCGAGGAGACCCCGGGATCATCAACAGTAACACAGGCTGTTTCCGTGGATGACATCCGCCCCAAGCTATGCAAAATCCAACGCATCAAGATGACCGTGCCGGTTTAGCTCCTTGCACTTTAAAATGCTCGTCTTAGATGCACAATATTCAACCAGAAGATCGAGACGTACAACAAGCTCCGCAAGGAGAAGAGATTCAGCAGAACGCCGAGGTAGTGTAATGTATAGGCTTTTTGACTATTCATTCTTTGTAGCCAGATGAAGAGTCACAGTTGCTGCTCCCGAAACAGGCAGTGTATGATGGTCCACGAGAAAATGAACCCCGCCCTGACACCGTTCAGCCAAACACCGCGATGGGGGTGCCTCCCAAAAAGCGTATTCGAGTTTGTGCCAAAGAACTATTAGGTTAGTTTAAACTTTTAGCGCAATAAGGACCTTCAACTAAAAACTCCAAACCCGATAGCGGAAGTTCCTGTTGAACCTGCTGCACACGGCCAGAAAACTCTTACCGGCTACATGCAGCAAGCCGAAACTCCAATGGCGCAACCCGACACCGGCAATAAGGTTAGTAATGTCGTTTTTCTCTTAACGATAAAAAATTTACAAGCAGCCAAAGTTTGAAAAATTGACGCTTGTATTATTTTTAATTTTATATCATTTTTAAGAAGAGCGATGGATCTGAGATACAAACACCCCGACCGATGATATTTGAGCCGACTGTAAAGCCAGCAGCGAAAGATGCTCCTTTGACTGTGGCCGATCAACATCCTGTTGTCGAGACCAAACTCCGCAACCAAAAACCTGTAAAGAAATCGGCTCGCAAGCTGAAACATTTTCCTATCCCGATCGAGGTGAAAATCGAAACTGAAGACCCTTCTAAAGGTGTTGAGGTGGGTTTTGATTACATATGGGAAGCTCTGTTTGTCGCCCTGTTTGTATTATTACAGAAACTTTTAAGCAGCTGAACGACGTGCCTCAACAGTCCCGTCCAGGGTTAGGGCAAAACGCTGCGTTGGCCACGACGGATCGGACGAAGTCGGTAGCCGTTGTGCAGCCATCGATGGTTCAAGTCTCTCCAACAAGTTCTGCTCAAGTGAGTAATCTGGAGGAACATTAAGAAACTTTGTTTGTCGATTTCTAGATTGAGAAACCGAGACAACTTGAAGGGAACCAGCGCGCAAAGAAGCGTGCTCGCAAGGCAAAGAAAGTTGTGCAGCACACCCCTTTCCTCCTGGAGGTGAAAACCGAAGCTGAAGAACCTTCTGAGTGCATTGAGGTTGGTGAAAATTTAGAAAATGCCTAATAATACATCTGTAAAATAGGGCGGTGCTCAACTGCAACAGGTACACCCGCCAACTCAAGATGTCCCGGTGTGCGCGATTGCCCGCAGCGCCAGGAATATTGGGGTTGGTTGGTCTTAAGCTACAGGTGAAAAATTAAGATGACGCCCAACGATTATTCAAGGCTGAGCGATCAGCCGTCCACCAGCCGTGAAAGCAGCTAAAAACTATTTACTCTGATGTACCTTTCAACTTATTTTTCGTTCTAACCCCCGCCAATGCTGTTTTACACTTTACACTTTTTTACCTGTGAAACTGACATATCCTATTAATAATCAATTGCTCTATAATTATTGCAGCTTTTGGGTGAATTTTATGTGAACTTTAACATTCATATTATTACTCTCTTACGCAATATGACTCAGTTATACGAATGAAGATGTGGAAGGAAGATAAGTGTCATTTTTGTTTGACCAATTTTGCAGGCAACGGTATGAGGTTTAAGAAACCGGGCCTGGTCTAACCAATCTTTAAATATTCATGTTTTTCAGAAAATTAGAATTTACCGCCTGGATTCGGAAATAAAAAATGGTTCAAAATTGCAGAATTATTGTTCAAGGTGCTTTCCGAGAGGAGGAAGGCGGATTTATCGCTTAAAATTCTGAAGAAGCAGCTGGCGTCTATTGGATTTCCGTGAAGCTAATCATAGACTTCATCGTGTTTGTACGGAATTTCAATATTCGAATTTCTAACTTCGTATAGCAGGAAAATGGTAATTGGCGCTGGTGAAGTTCCCAGCCCTTCAGCACCTACCGCGCCTTCTCCCTCTCGCTACAGTACCCCTGTTCTCGTCTGGTGATCTCCACGAATGGTGCGCTCTCTTCACGGGCTAGAATTTAGATTTGTCGACTGGGACCACTGTCCTCTCTCCCCCATCTACCCCTTTTGAGCGCTGTTTTCGCGGAGGGGGTTGGGCAGTTGGGGTGGTGGCGGTGTATTAGGGTTTGGTTGGAGAGGGCTGGGTGTCTCGATCGATTGGGTATGCTGTGGTGTGGCGCGGAGAGGGCAGACCTCTTCCCTTCCCGCTTTCTACACAGGCATCACGCGACGCTGCGGAGACGCGAGACAACGAGCGCGTCGCGGCTCTCCAACGATTGCCTGTGCACTTGCCAGTTCTTTGTGTCTATGACTATCTGGGAGGGGAGAGAGGAGAGTGAGGGTTGAAGGTTGGAAGGGAGAGGTTGGTGGTGTCTCGAGACGTCCCATCTCTCTCACCACAACCCTCTGACCATTCCTCTAGTTGCCTATACACTTCCCATCTCCCCCTCTATGGCCTCTATCTCTAACCCTCTGCCCGGGCAACAATTCCTCTCGTCGACACTGCACCACCTGGATCCCAGCTTCGTTACATCACGTAAGCTATTAGGCATTCAGAGGAGGATGCTTCATAGTCGAGCATGTTTGTGTCAAGCTTGCGAGTATGAGTGAGAAGTATAGCTTACAAAAAAAGGCTGATTTATTCGATTTCTAGGTGTTTTTTGGTAAGAATTGAAATTTGATATCTCGTTAGGTCGGCTGGGGCCAGAAATGCTGATTTCCCTAGCTATATCGTCAGTTAAGTTGCACTGGTGATAGCTTAAAGGTCAGGTCGGTAGCTAGCTTTATTTGAATTTAAGGTGAATTGTACATAGACATAGGACTTGTAGGTATCGTGAATGCGCGGTACGCTATGGAGTCTGCGCAATATAGGTTATATTATGCCTATTTATCCTGTAGAATATCTAAAACCTCTATGATTTCTGTTGGCGCTCCTCCTTTAACCTGCTGTAATTTTTGCATAAAAGCTGTTGTTCAAAGTATTAGGCTATAAAAAATCTGCTTAGTTTTTTTTGCCAATCCGTAGTTCAGTCGGACTTTGAATGCCACAACGCCTCTAGCCAAAATTCTTTTTTTAGAATACTTTGCGATGTTGGCCTTTGGCCAAATGCTCATAATTAGAAACACCTGCTCCCCACCCTTTTCCTCTGAGGCCTCAGTTCAGACCAACCCCTTTAAAACATGATCACGGAAAAACAATGTCTGTGGCCTCCCACATCTTCAACGGCCATCATATTCCATTTTCCCGCTCGCGCGCCCTCGAGAAAGATTTGACTCTGACCCCCTGTTCCCGCCACGCCCTGGGCGGTCTCCGGCAGAGAGCCAGAGTGGCTTATCCCAATACCCCGCTCCCATAGTAACTTTTTGATCTTGGAAGCTCGATCTTAAGAACAAAACATGTTTTTAGAAGTGGAACACTAATTTAAAATGAAAAACATAATCGAATTTTGAAAAATTTTGGGATATCTTGCAGACCCCGGTCTGGACACATTCAATATTTGGCACAGAGCCAATCCCAAATAAACAGCTGGAGGTCTCAAAAGTGCCTGCGGGCAAAGCTCTCTGGGGAAGGAATTGGCGGGATAGATGCCGAAATTCCTCCCTGCTCTCGAAGGATTGCCTTCCTACTCCCTTTAAAAAATTCGATGCTGTGACAAAGCTGGTATCGAATAGGCACGGTATTGTCTAACGAAAAAATTGTAGAACCAATATAACGTTAGGAAACAAATGACGCGTGCAGAGGATTGAAGTAAACAGTCTTGATTATGACCAAAATAGGGGGGGGTAGAGGATAATCCAAGAGTTAGTGTCTGCCACGGCTTAGCAAAAAAAGTGAAAGTATAATCCTTTTTGGAATACTGTAGTCAAGATGTCGCGGCGATGTTTGGAGCCCTTTAGGTAATGATTTTCGGGAGCGCTATCACCTTTTACCCAGATTTATCCGAGACAAATTGAAAAGTATACAACTTTGAGAAAATCCAAAGCATAAAAATTTCAGAGGTCAATCTCGTCCGAAAATTTAATCCTTATTAGAGTACTGCTGAAAACGTCAAGTTAAGGCTCGGTTTGAAAGGTTAACATCCGGTTATTTAGCGCTTTTTTGAGAGAACTATCGCCTTTTACCTAGAGTCATCCCATTGAAAAGTAGACAATTTAGGAGCATATAAACTTAGCTCTTCCCTACGGGACAACTTCAGAGGTCAATTCCCCCCACCCGATCCGTCCTGCCGTCCCGCGCACTGTTTGCACTGAAAAGGGATTCGTTTTTCGTGCCGCGGCAGTTCCCCCCCTCCCCTCGTTGGTGTGCGTGTGCTGTGAGAGTAGGGGTCGTCTTTAGGGTCGACGCGTAGTGGACATCACCAGCCCCCTTTTTCCCTCTCCCTCTTTCGGTCTCATGTCCTCACGTACACATTCGTACCCCCGGCCATCTCCCCCAGCTCTCCCAATCAATCGCCCCCTCTACGCGCTACCCCGACCCCTCTCAGCCCTCCATCCCTGCCAATCCCTCGTCTACCCTTCAAACGGTAGAATAAACAACAATTTTTCAAAATATACTTTGAAAAAGCGGTTTTAGGCGTTTGGAGCTGAAAAAACCGGCCTGGCTGAGCAGCTTCTACTCAAAATTTTGTCCAGAGCGGGCCCGGTGATTACCATAAATATTACCTATAAATCACTTTCTATTTCGTAATTAAGCTAGAATATATTAAATTCCTATAAATATAGTGACTCGCTCGAGAAAAATCCGTTCACCCTCAAACATTCTTATTTCCCCTTAAATTTAGTACGATTTCATTTTTTCTCTACCTTTTCAACTTTCTATCCCTCTATTAAAGTTTAATCAAACGCAAATTTTAAATTCCTATCAGTATTAAGATAGCAGAAAATAAAAAACCATTCCCTTCGAAAAAACCACAAACGCTCCCTCAAATATATCTTGACATTACCTGTTTTTCCCTTCCCCTTTCAGCATTTTTTAAACCTTTTTGCCAGCTGAGACTGTACCTATACGTTGTCCTATTCGTACTTCTAAACAATCTAGCCTCAAAAACCAAGCGAATATTTTAGGCTTCGGCCGAATGCGGTACCGCATGCTCGCAATATAAAAATCGCCCAAAACCGGGCTAAAAACGGATGGAAGGCATTGGCTGCAACGCAGAAGTAAGTTTAGATATTGAAATCGGTGAACGATTCCTACGAAAATAAACTATTGTTGAACATCGGAGTCTTACAGGCACCGTCTTCATGCCGAAGCCACTCCCATTCCCCCAAATCAAGGGAAAGTCATAGCTGTATGGATCCAGAAAAGCTGAAAATAGTGCGAAGTAAGGATGCGCTAAGAAAACGAAGATGGCGATTGAAAAAGAAGCTGGAGCGAGACGGAATCGCCGATACGGCTATATCCGAAACGACAATTCCTATTGTATTAAATGCATCACCTATAATTGCTAAAACTGAAGAGCCGAGGGCCGACCTCGACAATTTTAAAGCAGCCGACAGACTGAAGGTGAGATTAAAGGCTTAAGTTACTTGAAAACCAACAAAAAAAACTAATAAACTTCATAATTTTTAGGAAATTCGTTCGAAGGATGCCGAGCGGAAGCGGAGGGCAAGAGCTAGGAAGCGACAGTTAATGTCACTACTATCGGTGCCCGATGCATATGAAGCGGAAACGGCAGAGACCTCTGCCAAGCCATTTCCGGAAACCTCGGATGGAAATGAGAAAAAGATGGATGTGAAAACCGAGGAAGAAGTACCAGAACAATCGGGCTTTCTGTCAGAACAATCTGATACAAAACACTTCGGCAGTCTGACAATTGATGTCGATATGAAGGCAAGTGGTGATTGCCTTCCATCGGACGTCAGTTCACCCGGGCTTTGCCATCCATCCCCATCCGGAGCGTCGAAATGTTGCAGTCGAATGCCGAGAAAGGTAATATTTTGCAAAAAAAAGCCAGTTCATAAATCAAACGTCTAAGAATGAAAATAATGAACCCAATTCTAGTACCTCTCACCCGAGCAGCTGAAGGAGCTACGGGCCCGAGACAACGAGCGGAAAAGGTATCAACGCTGGAAAAAGAGGCTCGAACAACAACAGCAACCCGGAATCAACCCCCTGGACTTGTTCAATGATCCGAACATCCTTGCCACAATGTCGATGCTCATGATGTGTTCACCGACGGCTTTTACCTCACCAGGCGCAAAGCTGGACAGCGTCGATCCGATTGCACTGCCAGATTTCTCTACCGAACCAAGCCCCAGCACTTCTGAGTCTATGGTAAATTCAGTTAATTTCTGGGTTAATTGAAGAATTCTAGGTGAGAAGCGTCAGTCCAGAGACTGCCGAATTCAAACGTTCTCAAACGCCCGTCCCGAATGAAACGATCTCGTCGATTGAACCAGAAATCACCATCGACCTGATCAAAGGGCTATTGGCAGAGGTAAGTGTTCCTTGAAAAAAATCGTTTTGTTGAAAAAGACAATGTTTCTGGTTTTTACGAAAAATTTAGGTCGTTGGCCCCAAATCTCCACAGCTTGCGGCTCTGGGTACTGAGGAGAAAGCGGCCGCCAGACGCGCGGCGAGAAGCGCAAGGAAAGCACGGCTTACCGCAGCCGAGAAGGAAGTAGGTTAACCAAGCTAACAGAAGCTTGCGATAACTCGATTAGCTAGATTCTAGCCCAAGAAAGCGATCAGGCCGTTAAAATGATAGTTTATGCGCAGAAGGACTGTTAAAGTAATTTCAACGAATATTTAGGCGATTCGTGCGTCTGATCGCGAGCGTAAGCGTCTCTGGCGGATGAAGCAGAAGGGGCGCCATGAGACTACCTTTACTTTGCCATAAAACTGCTTGCGGTGTAAAAACCTGCCTAAACTAGTTAGTCAAAGCCCCCGGAGTTCACCCGATAAACTCGACCAGGCCTATCGTTATCTGCATGCCTCGCACTCCCCATAGGTCAGATGTGACATCCGCATCTGCGCTACCTCGGAGGTCGATCTAGGAACGCATTTCGCGCACTAATAGTGAAACGTATTTTTAAATTGTTTACACCTGCCTACGGGGAGTGCGAGGCATTCAGATAACGATAGGCCTTATCGACGGCGTCTCGGGCCACCAGATAGCCTGCGCAGATGTTATTCAGGTCACCCAATATATCAAAAACGTACCCATAATTTTTCACGCGATCACTGGCCCTAACCAATTTTGTTTTCATCTGTTCCCCCTATTTATGAGCACTGCGGGAAACGTTCCAGGAAGGCGCGCGTTCAAAAAAAATGGTGCCGTGTTTGAAAATTAGGCTGGGTGTCACATCCAAAAATGGTTGGCTGTTAATCTTATTATCAATATTTTTAACGGAAGTATTAATGGTTCTCTAGAGTTTTACAAAAAATTACTAATTGGAAAAAACCCGTCAGTAGCGATAATAACCTTTGCTCCGCATTTGCTATGTAGAGGCGCGTATCCTGGAGCCTTCCGTACAATTTTTTTTCTCCTTGTTCTCTTCCCAATACTTCACTTACCCTTTACGATATGCCCAGCTATAGTTTGCTGTTATTGCTAGTTTTTTTTTTGTACATATCCCGCCCTCTTAATGTTGTGGTAGAATTAGTGACTTTGCTTGCTGTCCTCATCGCTTGAACCGATCCTCCTGGTAGCCTCCTAGAATCTCCTGTTTTTGGAAAAGGGGATTTTTTTGCTGTTTTACTACATGGGTAACCTTCCTTAATCCCGCTGCAATCGTGCGCTTTGGTTTTCCGTCTTTGCGATTTAAATCGACTTTCCACTGTGTTTCTAAACGATTGTGCCTTAATAAATTTCAATTTTATCGAGCTTCTTTCGATAATTTGTCTGTATTGCTGTTGATGCTGACGGCTAGATATCTATTGTTTCGCAACGTTTTCCGGATATTTCTTTTTACGGTGGCCAAATTTTATTACATTTGCATTATAGGATGAATACCTACGCCTACACGTCTCAAGAACATCGGCCGCCTAGTCAGAATCCAGGGACACCTCGGCAGCAGACTTATAGTAAATATTTGCTTAGATATTTTTAATTCTTTTTAGTTGACACCATAGATGTCGAGTATTCTACCTTCCATACGGCTCCGACGTACACATCTCCCAGTTACCACACCTCTCAAACATTCATTGCTGGGGTAAGTATCAGGTCGCCTGCTTGATTTCCTTTATTTTTTTAGGAACAGGGAAATGAGATACGGATTATCAGCAACAGTGGCGAAACTACCGGCCGATATGTGGAAATTCAAGGAAATGGTCGGGAAGACAAGTAGGTTTTGTTAGTTTGCAATGTAGCGCGACGGACGCATATATATTTATACACGCAGACATATCTATTCTCTGTGAATCACTATTATTGCAGGCTAACTGCTATGATCGATTCTTACTTCATCGATAGTCCTGGAGCTACTGATCATGCTGACGGTTCTCCACAAGGCCAATGGGTTCAACAACCAATCCACTATGTCGCTGGATCATCCTCCCACATGAAGAAGGGCATTGTACCGATTACGCAGGATCGAATTGACAAAGAGAAGGCAAAACGTGTCAAGCAGGCTGAAGCTGCCAGGCTACGGTATATTTTTGCAAACATTTTCTCTATGCATGATTCCTGTTCCACAGTTTTTAAGCGTCTTATTTTCAGGTATCATCGTCTGACCAACGATGAAAAGAAGGAGCTTAATTTGAAGAGGACGCTGGCGCAAAAACGTAAAAGACAACGTGAAAAGGAATTGGAGCAGCTCGATGAAATCCTTCGCGCCTCCAACGATATCCAAGAGGATCCCGATGTTACTGAACAGCTGAAGGAGAAACGGTTGCGGGCGAAATGGGCCGAAGCTGCTCGTGCACGGTAGGTTTTTGAATTAAAAATATTGTTTGGATTTTAGATACCAACGTATGACACCCGAAGAACGGAAAGTGCATAATAATCGTCGACGTGCTAGACAGATGAGCCATGCGCTTCTCATGGCACGGGTTCGTTTTAGCGGTTGATTTTTGATACATTGATTGTTTGCGATGTTTGATGATTTGTATCTTTTTAGGAGAGTGGCGAACTGACTGGCGACAAATCCAAAGATGAGGAGGCGATCAAGCGCCAAATCAAGGCTATGAATTCCAAGAAAGCTGAGGCCGCCAGACTTCGGTATGTATTTTATTATGGATTTGCCTTAATTTGTCATGTCATTTCCAATAATTTTCGCTGGTTTCAGGTACCATCGAATGTCCGAAGAGGAGAAACGCTCATACAACCAGCGTCGTACCGAGGCATTCAGGAAGCGTCGCATCGAAGAAGAAATGTTGCTCGCCATGCCGATCGGACGCATCAATGGTGAAGCATTGGATAGGGCACAACAGATTGTTGTGCGAAACGCGAAACGAGCGGAAGCTGCGCGTTTGCGTTATCAACGAATGACACCCGATCAACGCAAGGTTAGTTGCTTTACTCAGAGTCGATCTTGCCTCGCCGTATTGTCGACGAGAAGCCAGATCCACGTAAACTAATTCATAAAAACCCTTGCTGCCTTGTTTTGCATTTTCGCGATTTACCTTCCATGGCAGCTTTTAGGTAGACAAAAGTCACTCTTGCCAGGTCCTGAACTATATGTCACAGCTTCAGAATTACAACCAGAAGCGGTACACCCCGAAGCGGGCTAAGCCTGAATCTGTTCGGAACAATGCAGCTGATCACAACGAATATGATGTGCTCACATCGCTGGAGAAGGATGTCCTCCGACGCACACAACAAGCTCAGCAAGTCATTTTGAGGCAGCAGAGACAGCAGACGGTCAGTACTTTTCTTTGTTTGTCCTGCTACCACATCACATCGAGTGTGCTGATTTATCCCATTTTTTTAGATACTGGCTCAGCAACAGTCGTCACAAGCAGTCCAAGCCGTTCCTGCGCCTCAGAGCTACGTGCTGTCCCAATCGGCTCTTCCGGCGCAGTCGCATATAATGCAAGGCAGCCCATCGGCGCATCAAAATGGACAACACTTCCAAGTTGCCGGACCCAGCTCGCATGTGTTGCTTTCTGCAAAGCAAGAGGTGTGTTTTACTTTTGACGTTATTCACCTTGCTTCCAATTACCCTTTTAAATTGTCCGTTTAGCAATCGTCGCAAGGGGCTCAACACCAAAACATTGTGCATCAACAACAATCCAAGTAAGTGCCTGTTAATAAATTTGTATAAATTTTTCTAGTTATCACAACCCGACGATGACCCCCTATGGAGGACCTTTGTAAACGAACTTCTCGGCCATTCAAGCGTACAACATCAGTTTCCTACGATTTGATCCCTTCATTTTCGACATTCGATCGACCTTATCTATGTAAATAGTAGGGTCTGCTAGTGTCTTACATACTGAATTTATATTGTACCGAATTATCTCCACCCACCTACCCTAGTACTGGTCGCATTTGATCCGGGCTTACCGAAATCTTGCTTTTCATTGCGCCGGATTTCTCGGTTTAATCTCCTTGTGAATTAATCTTTATTAATTGTGAATTACCCAACCGTCTCATTTACCCCCGTTGATTTTTTAAAAAGGCTTCCATAGCGAATCGATCTTCAGCCTATTTTTCTTTCTTTGAAATTTGTTTTCTCTCATCATGTCACAATCTTTTAGTTGTGGCTGATAGAACTCTCAAAACTATCTGTCATTATCCTGCAGCAATATTTTATTGCTGTTTAGGACCCTCATCGACAATTGAATCATGTGAACTTTGACGTTTTATATTGATTATTCCCTTTGACTTCCGAATAAATTTTTGTGAGAAACTCGTCAGGACGGTGCGGTAACTTGTTGATATCACGAATATCTCAAAACTTGTGGTTCGCTGCTTATACTCTGCTGTGCGGATGTATTTACAAGTTGTTTTTCAGCCAAAATTCATTTGCGTGCGTTAACGTGATATGGAGCGCGTACCAGTTTACGTCGCAGCGGATGGAGAAACGGCAGCGGGCGCCGGTGATTCTGCTTCCTATACCACATATCACGTGAGGTTTTGTCTTACTTTTGTAGCCCAGCTAGCTAGAGAATTGGCCCGTAACATAGAGAACTAGATATGGAATTTAGCACTTCTGCATTTCCTTAAAATTGTGTTAAATTTAGACACTGGATGGCCCTTACTCCCCATACTACACGACCAGTGCGGATGGGATTTTCACAACCGCCGGCTCGTCGAAGGGCACGATTTATACATCGCGCAGGAAATATGTGAGCCTCCTTGTCTAAAGGCAACTGTGAGCTATTTAGATCGGCGACAACTCTACCATTGTCGTCGCAGACGTCGTGGATCCAGTGACTGGCGAGAGCCAGACTATTGGCACACAAATTCATCATCTTCAGGTATCTAGTCGTAAATCTTTCCCTATAGCCTTTTCAAGCCTGTGGACACCGATGAAGAGCCATACAATATGGATACCTATTATATCGGTCGCGATAACGAAGAGCAACTGATCGACAATGATATGCCGATGGGACATCGAGATCGCTACGAGAGTGATGGAAGACTTTACCTGTAAATTTTTATTGCAATTTGTTTCGATGTGTTCATTGTTGTATGTTGTTTCGTGCCTTCTTCTTGTTACTTGCTTTTGACGGGGTATGACTTGGAGCGTAGTACTGAAATTCTGTGATTACCGAAAAATTACACCAACTTTTCGATTGAGCATTGGACCTTATTCAGGTCGATTGATCCGAAAGCAAGCTCTGCGCCTCTGGTGACCCGTTATGGGTCGTTTCCTCCTGACGTCGATTTTGGTCCAGAGTAGTCTAATGCGCTTTCGACGGTAACGACTTGTTTAGATTGTACTCTCCAAGTCAAGGTGTTGTCCCTAAATCAACTGCTGTTTTGTACACGCCGTATCATGTCCAGTTACTTGTGTCGTAATGCTTAGCTATTTTCAATGGGTTGTTTTGCAGGGCGCAGCCGAAATCCTTGTTCGAGATCGAAGAGGAACGGCGACTGAGGCATGCTGAAAACTCGAGGCTCAGGTCAGTACCACCTGAATATGTCTTAATTTTTATTAGGTACCATCGTATGTCGGAAGAAAAACGAAAAGCGGTGAACCAGCGGCGGGCCGAACGCATCAAAACAGCCCGACAAAGAAACAAGGAAGTGCACGAGTTGGAAACCATTTTGAAAGATTCAAACGATATTGAATCGAGTCAGGTTTGTGAACCTTTAATGACCATTGGTATCATTAGCTTTCAACATCTAGACTGATGTTCTTTCATTTCCAGGATGAGCCATCATTTCAGCACGATATTGATCAACAAGAAGAAGCTCGACAAAGAAGAGTGAAACAGAGAAGAGCTGATGCTGCAAGAATTCGATATCATAAGATGACCGAGGCTCAACGCAAGGTGTGAATCTTAATTTTAGCATGAGCAAATGTTTTCTAGGAGTACAACATGCGGCGCCGCTTCAGGCAGCTTGGTCTTGACCCCGATTTCCCTGTACTTGATGACGAAAAAGTTCAGGCCAAGTTGCGAGAAGTCAACCAAAAGAAGGCCCAAGCAGCAAGAAATCGGTTGGTTTTTTTAAGAATTATCGCAAACTTCTGCCTATCCCGCTTTGGAGCTTATTCTATGTCTATGTGAAAAATAGGTATCACGCTATGAGTGAGGAGGAGCGACGTCAATACAATGCCCGTCGTACCGCCGCTTTCCGTAAGCGTCGTAATGAGGAGGAACAGCTTCTCAATACCCCAGCCGGAAAGATCTCAGCGATGGCGTTGGAAAAGGTACATTTTTCTTGTTTTTATTACCCTAAAACCTCGTGTCAATTCCGTCCGATTCCGATTCCGGCGAGAAATGTTCCGATTCCGGTCAATTTGGTTACGTACTAATACAAATAACACCAAATGATGTGCGTAGGGGATAACTTGCCGCAAAAGCTACGTAAAGCCACGGAGCTGGTTCTCAGGACCTCTTATATTTTTTATTATCATTATCAATGATTTCATTTGGATTTAAATTTATTTTCAGGCGCACAAGATTATGTGCCGGAACGCAAGGAAAGCTGAGGCAGCTCGGTTGCGCTATCAAAGGATGTCCCATGATGAACGGCGGGTATGCCAGCAAAAGTTACTATAATTCCTGTTCCAGGAGTTCAATATACGCCGAAATGGAACAAGAAGGAGCGGGCGGCTGACCGAAGATGAGAACAGCCTCGATGCATCGCTTGAAACGACTGCTCCAGAGCCATCTAGCAGTTCTGATCTCTACATGAAAAGTACTAACCTATTGAGCTTTTTATAATAAAAATTTAGGTATGCCCACTATTGAGCAACCCGATCGGAATGTTGTCATGGTAGAGGATGTTCCTGTGGACGAAGTGAGTTATTGTGTTTCCCCGGTTATAAATTTCGATTTTTAGTCGGAAACCGATCCAGCCGACATAGTGGTTGACGACGATGACATCAACGTTGATCTCGAGACATTTGAGGAAACTGAGCGGGATATTGATAGCAAGACGAAGCTGGCTCAGTGTCTTCTTACACAGAAGGCCGAGGTGAAGGCACCGAGCAATCTACCGCGCTGTGTTTACGTCACTAGCGAGCTCGTCACCGATCCACAGGGAAAAGAAACCCTTTATTTACAGGTGAGCTATTGAATTCTCAGTATATGATCGAAAATTGGTTTAAACAATGTTGATTTATTTCAGCCCGCCCCAGGCCAAGGTATCGACGAGAAGCAACTAAAGCTGATGCTTGAGCATGAATGTGATGAAACCGGTCGCTTGTTCGAAATTAGGACTATGGATGGAAAGATTCTTCTCCAGAAGCCGAGCCACGCCCTCGATGAAAGCATCAAGCCCTACAATCCAATGGTATCTCATTTTTTAGCTTTCGGACAATTTTTTCACCATAGGATGTTTACAATGGCGATCGCTCTGAATACTACGACGACAAGGTCGAAAAGGCGAAAAAGCGCAGGGCCGAGAAGGCTAGAGAACGGTGAGTGTTGGGTTTCGGTTTTTTTAATGTATGAGGGCGTCCGGGAAGATCGAAATCAGTATTTTATTTAGTTATCATAAGATGAGCGATGCTGCAAAGGCAGAATTCAACTCTCGACGGGCCGAAACGCTGCGCAAGGCTAGGAAGCGCGATGAAGATTTGATCCAGTTAGCCTCTACAACCCCTTTATCGACGATGGATGAGGAGACAAAGAAGGCTGTGCTGGATGCGCAGCGAAGGAGACAGAAGCGGGCTATGCAGGCTCGAGAGAAATATCATCGAATGAACAGGTGCGACCTTGGTTTATTCTTTGTTCTAGCTATTCTGCGGATCAGCATATTTGACTTTTTTTTTGCATTTTAGCGAGGAACGTCGACAATATAACGCGATGCGGGACGCCCAGCGTCGACAACGCAAGCGTGAACAAGAAGGCAAAACGTTGACTCGACAGGGCGACGAATCCGGCGGGGAACTATCACGTGAAGGCGTCGATGATCATCAGGATGTGAGTTTTTGAAATCGTTTTCCAATGCCTTTAGCCATATCACAATTAGTGATCAGAACTAGGGATTCTTACTCTTGGAATGAGCTATGATAAATTTGCATCTTGACCTGTTTCAGGAGGATCTCTTCCCAGAATTCTATGATGACTACGACGATCCCGCCACGAAATATTAATCCCATGCGCCTTACTATTTTTAATGAAATTCGGGTCATTTCACTGGTGACAAAGGGCTAAGAACTTTTCATCGCCGTCCTTGTTTTTTACACGATTTTTCAATACAATTGGATGTGATTACCCTTTATATCTGAAAATTTCTCATGTACTCTTTGTGAAACTGCGACCCTCAACGCACCACTCAATATACGTGTCATCATTTTCCACCCGCCTCGCTGTCTTGTCGAAGTGCTTTATGTAAACGCGGGCTTGGCGGTGTTCCACCACGGCTTAATCATTTTAGATTGACCGCTAGTTGCGTAAAAATTTCAATATTGCTTGCAACTTGTTAATTTTTTGGCTTTTTTGCAGATCCCCCCGACCCTTGCTGATAGTCATGTTAGTCCCAATGTTGTTTGAAGTAATGCGAAATTGAAATAAATTGCGTTAGTTGACAATTTTGGAAAATACAGCTTCACGAAACCTTTTTCGCGCGCTCGGGAAAGGCATAGGACCTCGACTGCGCTTAATTTCCTTTTTTTTAACGTATCAGGAATGCCTTCTGATGCTCGTAGTGGCGCTAGTAGTGGTGTAGAAGTGTCTGAATTCCGACTTCGTATAGAACGCAAATATTAATCGTTTGTTTTTGCAAATGGATAGCTAATAATCAGAAATCAATCTCTAGCATTCCTTTAGTCTTCGAACTTGGGAGGCTTATTTCTGAAGCTTGCTTGGTAATTTCATGATTATGGCTATGTCGACAGGTCGCTAGTTGCCTCAGCCGGTGTGCGTATGTGTGGCCGGGGTCTTTTTTGTTAAAACCCCCAAGCAGACAGCTGCTTCATCCCTTTCATTTGATCAGACGGATAAAGTGGCGCAACGTGTCACTGATCACTAACTGGGCCCACATTTTTCGGGGAAGAGGCGCTCTGTCGGATTTAGCTTTAATTAATGCATTAATTTTTTTATTAATTTACTCCTCAATTTAGCTTTAAAAATCCTCTACACTTGACAATCCACATACGAGATCGACCAGCAGACTGCACGTTGTATAGATAGCAGCAACAAAGGAAGACGCCACGGACCCGAGTGGGCCATATACTTTGTGGGGTGGTTTTGGGTGTGCATATGCGGCCAATCTGCACCTCCTCCTCCCTTCTCCCCCGAGTTGTGCTTCTCCTACTTCTTCTTCACCCCCCCAAGCCTTGCCGCCCTTCGCTGGAGCAGCTGTAATACGCCATTTTAACACGCACACGTGCTTACAGAACTTTCATCCCTTGGTTCCGTTAGATAACCTTTCTGAGGATCGATTCATTTGTATACTGTACTTGTTCGAAGACCTGGGGTTTTAATTTCGTCAATTATCAATCATCCTAAATGTGGGTTTTCATTGCCGATTTTAATGGAGATGGTCTTATGTTTTTAAAATTCTGAAAAACTGAAAATTCTGGTTAGAATTGATCGACTTCGGATTTTTGGGTGTTTGTGGGTAGTCCTCTTTACCCCTAAAGCGGTCAGAAAGGTCCGGATAAATTAAGCATAAAGCCATTTTTAACTTCAAAATTAGCATAAATCATCTCTACTCCCTCTCGCCTAGTCCCGCTCTCTACCCCGTATTTCGCATTAGCATTTCCGGTTGGCTCGTTGCTATTTATAGGTGAGCCCTGATCTACTGGGCGTTCCTTATCCCTTTAAACTCGAGTTTTTGTTTGAAACGATTTTCCTTGGGCCCCCGGTCGAACAGTGATTGCGGTGCCTTAATTCCCTCATTTCCCCCCAAAGGCTGCAACGTCTTTTGAGAAGCCGTCGTCCATGGTCCCGTCCACTTCTCCACCCCGCTATTCGCACGCCTATTCGATTTCCCCGATGATTCGGTGGGTGGATGCTCCACCCAGCATTGCGCGTCTTCACAATTCGCAGATTTACGTCCGTTTCGAAATCAGGGGCCATTTTTTGAGGAGGGACTGCTGTAAAAATGAAGTGACTGGGGGTATTCAGAGGGTAATTACTTTAGATACCGGCACGAATTGTTTACACACCTTGTACTAGATATTTTTAATGTATTGTATAATATGCTTCTTTAGTCTATTAAGTATCTTTAAGTGTTCTTATTTTGTCTATTCATACCTACAGGGTCTCCTGAGAAAACCACACCCGCTAGCGGTCCAGACGAGTGACCAATTTACGATTGAGGTATCAGCCATTGAATTCTCAAAATCCAGGAAAATAAGTAATTGGTGGTTTCTAAATTATATTATTTATAATTATACTATAATTACTTTATATTATTAGGTTCTTCATCAATTTTACGACCGAAACCCCTGAAAGTCGTAGATTTTACCGAGATCCATCTTTTCTCCCGGAAAATCGGTTATTAAATGATGCTAGAAAATTAAACTCGATAGTTTTCTCGCGTCTTCGAAATAGCTCGAATCGTGTAATCGAACTATTCTGATCGTAATTTTCTCCGGACCGAGAAGGGCGCTTTTTAGACGCCCTGCATAGAACATCACCCCCCCTTTCCAGATAAAATTCTTGACGCAACACGCCTCCGAATGTTGTGTCTTACTTCGTGGATGCCCCCCCCCCCCCCTTCACCGAACTAAACCTTCCGCTCCAATTCTATCAACCACCGCCACCACCACCACCACCGCGTTTTCATAGCCCAAAAATCAGGGGCCACACATTTTTTACCCCTTTTTTGCCCTCCCCCTCGACGACCCCCAAATATTCGTGGTCGACGTTTTTCGAGGCTTGGCCCCCTCCGGTCGGCCCACGGCGTAAATAGCATTTGCAATTTCGTGCCCCCTGTCCCGAGGCTTGGGAGGGGGAAAAGGAGAAGGAAAAGCCGGACGGTGGTTCGAGTCGGTGCTGGTAGTGGCTGGAAAAAGCCATGGCTTCCGTCGATTCCGCACTAGCATGGTGGTTTTGGTGAAAAGTCTAGTGGGTTAGCTTAGGAAACACGATCTTCTACGGATTGGGCTTACCATACTTTTTTAAAGGGACCTTGGAGCGTTTTTATTGCCTACCTATATGCGAAGTCATTCTGTAGATCTTTCGGATTTCACCCCCCCCGGATCTAATCTGGCTCCTAGACCTACCAAACTTCCGCAGCCAATCCCCCCAAAAAATTGCAGAATTCTGCCAAATTGAACCGGGAACGGTGGCTGAAAGTTGATTGAATTTTAGGACGCGCCTAGCCGAAACCTTTCCTCAGCACGAAAACGGCATCAGTAAAGCAAGGAAAATCGAACATACTCTCGCTATTCAAATATCAGATAAAGTGCCAGAAAATTTGCGTCGACCCCCGAAAATACCGATTTTGGCTACTAGTCATTGCTCGGATTGTTTTTCCCCGGCCTGATTGCTGGCTACGGGCCGCAGGGTGGGGTAAATTTTGTTATTTTAGGGTCGACATTGGGCTATGTGAGGCTAAACAAACGAATATATGTAAATAGGGTTTAGGTAGAGGATTTTTAGAGTTGTTCCAGGTGTTCATTGCTATTTTTGGGGCGCTTTGACTTCAGTCTTTTTGTGAGGATGCCGGTGAAGTGATCGTTCCCTGGGGGTTGAAGGGCACGCTTTCTTTTTGGCTTTAAGGGGACATTGTTGTGGTGCTATGAAAACAGCAACATGGTTCATTTGACGATAAGTTATTCTTTGTTTATGTCTACATTTTCTTCAATATGTCTTGGTGTTTAAGGCTTTTTTTGCTTTTTTCCTAGTATTTTTAGTTTAATCCTTCAGCTCTCTCTCTCTCTCGCCCTCTCTCTTGGTCTCTCTCTATAATTGCTAATCCCTACCAAATCTAATTCATCACCCTTTTAAAAACCAAATCCAGCTCCAAAACATACCCAAATGATCTCAATATACGCCAAGCCTAATCCCAGCTCCATAAATCCTCGCCCACCCGATAAAATATGATGCCCGAAATTTGTCAGTAAATCTCGGCAGGCCATTTTAACCCGCACCACCCATCTCTGTCTCATCATCCATTCCACGAAACCTGCGAAATAAATGACCTTCCATTGCCCTATTCCACGGAATGCAGCTTCATTTTTTCGGGTCTACGACCGAACAGGGGAGGCTTCAAAACCGAAATTTAGCACGGCTTTGCTCTTTTCCCTAATTGACTTTGATTCCACTACCCCTATTAGATTAGATGCTATTCTATTAAATTTATTCCATATCTGCGCGGCACCTCTAGAATTATTTGCTAACGTTCTCTACTCACCCATCTCGGAAACAACGCCGTCGGGACCAATAAACCACCCTAAACGTTTATGAGGTACTCCTCCCAGAACGTATCACTTCCCTGCTAAGCCCTACTTTCCGCATAAAGTCTTTTTTTTTCATCCCGACCCCAAAATTTTTTGAAAAATGTTACAACATCCGGCGACGCAGATTCAGAAGAGACTTATCCGCCTTCTTTGGCGTCAGGCGGGGCATTCCAAATAATATTTCCGGGCATCCCAGTCGTTTAGGGGTGGCTTCTCGACAACTCAACAGCAAAACGGGGATCAGCAAAGACGAGCATGAGGGATGGAGAGGAGGAGGAAGGGGTGGAGGATCTCTCATCTTTTGAGTCGAGAATTCGATCTCCCCCTCCTTCCGCGTTTTCCCACCTCATCTTCGCTGTGGGGGATGCCCGGGCTGTCTGCTTTTTTGCTAGTTTGATTGAGGGTTGTTAGCTATGGGAAATGTTCGAAATATTGAGTTTTGTTAAAATTTATGCTTATGGTATTGCCACTAATATGACGTTTTCTTTCTTTTCGCATTCTTCTCATCAAGCCCAAATTTCTCTCCATTATAAGCTACGGTTTTAATAATCACGATCGTCCTAACATCAATTCTCACATCCAAATCCACCTCAAAGACACCCCTCCCATTCCTCAGACATTATCGCAAATCCATTTGCTCTCCTCCCCTCTCAACCAACCCATCACATCCCATAAATTCTTAATAACCAAGCACTAATACTCCCACACAGATACATTAGCCGGAACATCCTTCTCAGCCTACCCCTTTCCAAAACCCCCTAACACATCCCGTAAGCCTCCTTTGCCCTTCAAAATTGGCCCAATCTAACCTCCCCTAGATCTCATCTCAACCCAAGCAACATTCCACCCCTCAACTTCTTCAAATTAAAAAAATCCCGTTCCTTGCAAGCCCAGACCCCAAAGGCTCACAGAAGCCAGCTGACGCACCCCCTCTCCCTCTTCCATCTCCCGCAATTAAATGCTAATGGATTGGGAGGTGGATGTTCCGTGTCTTTTCAACGGGTCCAACGAGAAAGGTCGCATTTTATTGCTTTAGTTTTTCTAAGGGCCCCAAGCCCTGGAAAAGCTCATGTGCTGGCTGTCGACGGGGGGAATTTGGCGGAAAAAGGGGCGGCCCGGATGTTGGAGGACATGGGGAGGATTAGATTTATAGGGTTTAAGGATCGGTATTTGTTTTATCAAAGAAAAACGGAATTGTATTTCAATGTCCTGCAACTTTAGTGGAGTTTAATAATTTCTTTCTCGGATAAGAATAGAATTAAACGCGAACTTTCACGCGTTCTCTGGCACTCGGCGGATAATTTCTCCACTCTTACCGAGCGATAGCGCCCATTTTCCGCTTCGATACCCAGAGATGAGGTCGGGGTGAGGGACGGCGAATTTTTCTTTCTTTTATGTGTGTTTCAGGCTGGAACACTTTTTTGAGAGACTAACATATAAAAGAAACAAGTTGTCGGGGTTTTTGATGCTTGAAAAATGTTTTACAAACAGTATTTTTTTCTGCTATAATTAAATGGATTTTATAAATTATATTGCTGATTTATATTGATATTGGAATACATAATTAGAATATCTATTTTCAGAATTCTCTATTACGACTTAAAGGAGGTGGACCTATTGAAACACGACAGGAAATGGGAAAATGAATAATCCTACTTCTGAATCGGCACAGCCCTTTCTTTTCAGTCAAGGGTCAAATTCTAAAGGTATCAGCACCAAATTAGCGCTGAATTTTTCCCGTCATAATTCCATAAAAAAATTTAGAACCAAATGGACGCCGTGATTCCCTTGATCCCTCCCTATCATCATTCGTCGATGGTGAGTCGTGCCTCAACATTGGTTTCATTTTATTTTGCACCCTGGCTTGTTTGAATTGACCCTACTAGCCAGTGTGACGGGCCCCTTATTTCAGACACCGAACCGGAACTAGACGACGATCCCATAAGGAAGGCGAAACTTTGTAAGGCAACGCCGGATATATTCTAGAATGTGTCTCGACGCCCGGCGCATAGAATTTCCCACATATTCCCACATATTCCCGGTCTTTTCCACCAATCCCTTTGACCACCAAACACTACTAAATCTATAGCCTTGGGTTTCTGGTATTAAGAATTTAAGCTTTGAATTTTTTGGGATTTTTATAGTGATAAAGGGATGGACATGGATGTTTCCGCGATAAATAAATCCATAAAGTCATGCATTGCTGGTCCCTTTAACCTTTCGGTCGAAAATCTCCATTAATAAAGACGATAGCGTAATTTCGTATTACGTGCTTATACCAGAAACCCAATGATACCCCTATTAAACCCCTCCCACCTCTTCGTCCTCCTCAAACTATAACTATTCCGTTTCCACAAAGCACATCTTCTAGCCGACCGCCATTTCCAGATTTTCATATCTTTTTTGCTCGCCAAGCCATCTAGGGCCCAATATTCCTCAAATCGGACTGCCAACTTTTTGGGGCCTATCAATCGCATGGATACTGTCACCATCAGTTAATCCTAGAAATTTACGGCGCCAAATTTCCTCCTAAAAACTGAATTTCCAGATCGACGACTTCGTGAAAAACAATTTTTATTGTCATGTGAACGGGGTGATATTGGAAGTGTCAGGTTGGGTTTAATAAAAAAGTTATAGAGATTTTTAGGCGATGCCTTGAAACGGCGAAGCAGGATGCCTTTGATATCAATTGCGTGGACCCTTTGGGAAGGTCAGAATTAAAATTGTAACCCTTAATTTTTTAATATATAGAAGCGCACTACATATCGCCATTGAAAATGAGAACATCGAAATGATAGAATTGTTATTGGATCATAATATCGGTATTTGAATGGTTCGCATGTTTTAACAGAATTTTAGAAACTGGGGACGCTATACTTTATGCAATTGGGGAGGAAAATGTGGAGGCGGTCGAGATTATCGTGGAACATTTGGAAAAAATTGATAAATATAATCCTGAGGTGACCTTCATTTCATACAATGAAAAATTACCAAAAATTTAATTCGTTAAAAATTCGAATTGATATTTCAATCAACGTTGCGTTAATTCAATAATTATCATATCTTTCAGACGCAAGGCGTAGAAATCAACGAACACTCAGCCTTCACCCCCGATATGACACCAATTATATTATCGGCACATAAGGATAATTACGGTAGCTAAACAACAATAGACAACTATAAAACCACTTCCCTTTTAGAGTGTATTAAACTATTTTTGGACAAAAAAGCCACCGTACCACATCCACACGACGTTCGGTGTTGTTGCCCGGAATGCGAAACCGTAAGACTCATTCAAATCAATATTTATTCAAACCTTTTAGGCTCGAGAAGAGGACTCTCTTCGATTATCAAGGTCTAGACTTAATGCTTATCGGGCTTTAACTTCGCCGAGTCTAATTTGTAAGTATACAAACTTCAAAGCAATCTATAAATCCTTAGGTCTTTCCGCAAAAGATCCAATTCTATATGCGTTTGAATTGAGCTGGGAGCTACGACGATTATCTTATATTGAAAACGAATTTAGAAGCGAATATCAAGTAAAAAATCTTTGCTTTTATGAAATTAAACAACTTAGGAATTATCACAAAAGTGCCAAAAATTTTCTGTGAACATGCTGGACCAAGTGAGAGGGAGCAAGGAGCTGGAGATTGTCTTGAATCATACTACAAAAGCATGGCAAGATGTCACTTCACGGTATTTAATTTTTAAAGTATCCACCTAGTTTTTATTTTTTAGCGGAACAGCCACTTCGGACCAATTAGCGCGCTTGAAATTAGCCATTCAGTTGCGGCAGAAGAGGGTGAGCCACGTTTCACTTTTTACAGAAAAATTCTCTAGTTTGTCGCCCATCCCAACTGTCAACAGTTGCTTGCCGGTATTTGGTACGATGGATTGCCCGGGTTTAGGAATCGACATATCATTTTTAAAGTAAAATATTTTCGATTTTATATGGGTTTTTAAGGTGTTACTAATATTGGCGGTATCAATGTGTTTCCCGCTGCTTTCAATCATTTACCTGGTCGCCCCCCACTCTACCATTGGGATGTTTGCCCGGAAGCCTTTTGTCAAATTTCTTAGCCACTCGGCGAGCTATATATTTTTCTTGTGTAAGTTGGGCTCTAATTAAATTGGATATTGTCTTTTAAGTTTTATTAATCCTGGCAAGCCAACGTATTCAATCGATCGACAATATCTTTGGAAAGAGAACCTTCGAAGGGCACGAGGAAGTGAATACAAGAAAAGAAAGTCGAGGCCCGCCGCCAACCCCTGTAGAAATGGCCATCCTTGCTTGGGTCCTAGGTTCGCTAAAATATAGATTTCCACCGTAATCTAGGATTAATCTGGGTTGAGATCAAACAGCTATGGGATTCCGGTCTACACGACTATTGTCACAATCTGTGGAATATCCTTGATTTCATCACAAATTCTCTCTATCTGTCGACAGCAGCATTGCGGACTGTGGCTTATTTTCAGGTAATGTCTATTAAAAGTTTCTAAGGTTTGGATTTAGGTAGAAGCCGAGGCCAGGAGTGAAGATATGAATCATATAGCTGGAAATCTATTACGAAGGTATAAATCTAACAATTGTTATATTTAAGTGACATTCCTAGGGACTGGGACGCCTGGGACCCCACCCTCATCTCCGAATCGGTCTTTGCCACGGCAAATATATTTTCTTCCCTCAAACTCGTCCATATCTTTACAATTAACCCCCATTTGGGGCCATTGAAGATTTCGTTAGGTGAATTTAAGCTCAAAATTTAATTTGAATACTAATTTTACAGGCCGGATGGTGCTCGATATTTTGAAATTCTTCTTGGTGTACTGTTTGGTGCTGTTCGCGTTTGCGTGCGGGCTGAACCAGTTGATGTGGTATTATTCGAGTATGCGGGAAGTGGTGAGGAAAATTACAATGATAATTTACAATAATATTTCAAACTTCAAAATTTTCAATTAATTTGAAATGTCCTTAGGAATGTGCGGTCTACAAAAGTATGCTAGTCCACGAGCAAGATCGCCGTGACGACTACGACTTTCAAAAAGACCTAAAGAAATACGAGGACAGCTGCGACCCAAAATATCGGTCTTGTGCCAGGTTAGCGTTAAATGGGACTTGAAAGCACTTGTATTTCTACATTGCACTATATCGTACCGTAATCCTGTAGTGGTTGGTGTGTTTTATAGTTTGTATTCATCGATGGAGACGCTATTTTGGGCTTCGTTCGGTATTATCGACTTGCCACATTTTGACATATTGGAAGCACATTGGCCTACACAGGTATAGTTTGTGTTGTGGAAGAATATGGGATTCACAGAAACTTTCAATTATTCTAATATGAATTACTAAGATTTTAATTAATCACTTCAATATAGTCGATTTATTTAATAGGGGATATTTTTTCAAAGATTCCAGCACCTTTCAAAATTAAATTCCTTACCTCTCCTTGTACACTATCCGTGACGCTCCAGTGGACGGGTCGCACAATCTTCGGCGCGTACTGCTGGTGTTCGGTGATCGTGCTGTTGAACATGCTAATCGCCATGATGAGCAACTCCTACCATCGCATTTTTGTGGGTACAAAAATCCTCTGGAGTTGCATGAATCATGTCGTAATGCCTAATTTGCATGTAAATGTCAGGGCACGTCTGCAGCACTCAAAGACCTTTAGAGCCTAATTTTCGGCTTGCCCCCCTTTTTCCTTTAACCCGGATTACAGTATCTACCACACGGTGGAGACGCTGTTCTGGGCCATGTTTGGACTGGTCGATTTGACGCATTTTTCATTGAAAGAGGGCCATCGGGTTACAGGTATTTTAGATAATCACAATTTTTTTTATTGGAATTTTTCAGTAAGTGAATAGCCGATTTTGGTTTTGGTGATTTGATGGAGTAATAAAAAAAAACATTTTAAAGGGATGGTCAAGTCATGGCGTTTGATTTTTCGGCAATTTAATGGATTCGATTACGCATGATTTCATTGCGTAATGGATTCAGCGCGTCGCTTGCCCATCCTTTTAAAACGCAAATTTTCTATCGTTAAAACAAAAAATAGAAAACTTATTACTGAAAAATTCCTCCATCAATCACCTATCTTACTGCCTAATTTCCCTAACCGCACCCCCCAATCTAATTTGCTTATTTGCGCGTGCAGAATGGACGGGAAAGACCATCTTCGGCTCATACTCGGTCATCTCAATCATCGTGCTCCTCAACATGCTGATCGCCATGATGAGCAACTCGTACACGTACATCTCCGTGAGTCCGGCATGGTAGTGCGTTTGTGTAGGAATGTGGTGTAAGCTCTTCTTAATAATTCCTGAAATAAAACTAATATTGCAGAATCAAGCGGACGTTGAGTGGAAGTTTGCGAGGTCAAAGTTGTGGATCGAGTATTTTGACGATACGGCGACTTTACCACCACCATTTAACATGATTCCAAGGTATGGTTATTGCAATTATATTTCCGTAAAGAATTGCGGCTACAATCTCGATAGTTAAAATACCGACAAGCAAAATCTCGACATATTCTTGACGTTAATTCGATGCCACTTCTTTTTTCAAATTCGTAATTTGAATGTCGGTATTCAGCTTGTCGATATTCTGGTCCTCAGCATTTTAACTGTCGGAATTTTGGCGTGAGTCCTCCAGTAATGCCTAATTTTTAGCCCGAAATCCTGCTATTACGCGATCCAATGGGTGTTGGAGCGGTTCTGTTGCGCGAAAATCGTGCAACAGGGCAAACAGAAGAGCATGCGGGTATGGAATGATTGGAGGGTGGCTTTCCACTTCTAGGGACTAGCCGATGATCTGCCTGAATGATGATCTTGGGGGATGGGGCGAAGCGGGGTGGGGGGAGCTATTTGAAAAGAATTACTGTCGTTTTTCCTAAGCTCATTTTTCCAAAAATACATTTTTTTCTCAAAAACATTTTTGCTAAATTTGCATAATTCCATAGAAACTAAATCACAACTTCAACCCGCTTTCCCCCTCCCTTCAGATCAGACCGGTTGATCTGCTCGACTAGCCCTAGATATCATTTTAGAACCAGAAGATCCTTCGAGTTGTCAACGACCTCGAGAACAACTATCGTGTTCGTCTTTTTATATTTCCTCTTTTTTTAGAAGATCATCTCGAAAATTTCGACGCGCGAGGCCGACTTTAGGGTTAGAAATCTTTGGTGCCAAAGTGCAATCCATATACCCTGCATCCAATCAAACAAAAGAACCCCCTGATTGACAAAGCACTAAAAGCCGACTCTGTTCATGTTGTCTGCGCACTTCTAAATATCATCAACAACAACACGACCCTCGTTTTTGAAACGTTCGAGAAAACCTCCAATTATCAAAAAAAACGTTGCATGTCCCGTGTGCACCATAAGAAATTACATTCTAGTGCTCGCAAATAGTTCTTGGAAAGGCCGGAAAAATGTGTTAGAGATGTCAATTCAAATTAAACTATTAAAAAGCAAATTTGTTTTTAGTTTGTCACGCGAAATCTGGTGAAGCGATACATTGCGCAGATGCAGAGGATGAAACAGCAAAATGAGGGCGTATCGGAAGATGATGTTAATGAGATCAAACAGGTTTGCAAGGCTAAATAAATTGCAGATAACTTTTCGAAAGCTTTGAATCTTTAGTACCATACTTTCTCTTCTGTAAACTTGATTTAGCCACCCCTAGAAATGGCAGAAGTGTCGAAGGTATCGAGAAAGTCCGACTTTCTAGATTTTTTTGGAACGGCAATATTTTCTAAGCTACACCACTCTACTATACTCTCGCAACTTTGAAGACTTTGAACTTTCAGATTATTTAAGTGGAATTTAGATAGAAATTATAATTTTCAGGACATCAGCGCGTTCCGGTATGAACTACTCGGCATCTTACGCTCGGCCGGCTTCAATACAGGGCATACAGACATCAACCAGAAGACCTACTGTAATTCAAAATGTCAGGGTCAGATAAATTCAAATATTTTTAGCCCGAAATAAAAAGCGGTCGGCGATGGCTGAGCGTCGGATGTTGAAGGGGTTACCGGAATTTGAGATGCCGGTTCCGGAGAGTTTTGCAAATGCGAGAAGGACGAGTATACCAGGGACGCCAGAGTCGACGTGAGTAGCGTAGCGTAGAGAGCGCGACGTACTTTATTTTTCTGTCACTTTCCCTGTAAGCAAAACCCATATCTGTACCAATTTTTCAGATCCGCCTTCAGCAAGCCAATCCCCCTCCCCCTCCGCCTACCACAACTCAACTGGCGACGTCTCAAGAAAAAGGTATCCCAGGCAGGCTATTTCACAACACATTTGTCTCGGCTTAAATAACCCTATCTCGATATAAACGGACCCATATAGGAGCGCCTAGTCGCTGCCTCGATCGACGCTTTCAAAAGTGGTAATAGACTATGCCCATTTATGCGTTGTTTCGCTTTCCTTCAAAGGGTGTGCGACGTTCGGTTAGACCAGTTACACCTTCAAGTTTTTCTGGGTTCTAAAAAGCTATTGATTGTCGCCACCCTTAAAGGAAAGGCGATTTCTTTCTGGTTTTTGCTAGTCTAGAGTGTCTTTATGGCCCCCAAACTTTCATTTTGCAGCTCGCATCAAAATTTTGCTATTTCTGCTTAATAATGTGTTTAAGTGCGGAATTCCGGAAAGTTATGGGCTGTAATTTGCATAATTCCGCACCACAACTTTCCCAAAACCCAGCGCGCGGTTTCTTTGCGACGTGCATGTCTTTCCTCGTACCAAACTTTGAGTGTGTCGCCTTGATTGTGGAATGTTTTGTGCCCGGGAATGGGTTCTGTAGCCTTCCAACAATCCCTATTCAATTCTTTATTTTGCCGTCCCTATGTCCACACATTTCCTTTCCTCTACCTGTAGATTTTGCTCAATTTTTCTTGGACTTCAGACTTGGTCTCTAGGTTCGGAAATGAAGGGGAATTCGGGTGGTGTCGCGCTGAGCGGAGCCTTACGTACGCCGATGAAACGTTTGTTTCGCTGTGCCAATTTCACTTTACTTTGAGCTTTATTTTGGGCAGGATGAAGGGTTATTCGCAAAAGTTTGCTCTACCGTCCACCTGGCGGTATAAAATTTAATATTGTTCTGCTACTTTGCAGGATTTTTTTAATTTCAATTTTCAATATTTTCGTATAATATTAATAATTAATATTCTAATGGCTATAACTATATTAAGACAATTTAATCAAAAATTGCTGCAGAAAATGCAAAAATATAGTTTAAAATGCGTTTGGGGAGCTGGTTTTCGGCATTATTTTATCGAATTTCGTCAACGGGCAGTCGATAGAGCACAAATTGATAAAATAGATATCACAAAATTAGAAAAACGTTCCAAAATTTCGTTAAGCACTTACTGGCTGTTATTAGTTGTAATGTTGCGTGATAGCAGAGACCTAAGGTGCAGTACAGTCGGTGGTTTTATCAAAAATGAAAACTAAAATTTAGATAATTTACGAAATTAAATTATTAAAGTATTAATTTAATTAAAATCTATATTGAATGTTTTAGAAAGAAATAAATAATCATTAACTTAAGCAATAACCAGTCACGACAAGAAAATTCGTTTGCGAGTTCCAATTAACCTGCCCACCGACTCTCTCTCTCTCTCAATAATTTCCATTCCATTTTTCGATTCATTTCCAAAACCCCCTGTCCCAATGAATGGTTATAGTATCCCAATCGTCTCGCGGCTCAATCCCACCGTAAACTATGTGCATTTAGGTGTCGTTTCGGGGCGGGGCAAAGCCACCGCCATGTGGGGACGAGCCGTTCAGGGAGTCTCTCGAACACCTCAGCCGTCACAGCAGTCGACACAGCAGCCACAGTCCATTCGTGAGCTTTTGCTTCTCGTCCTAGTTATCCTATTATATAATTCTGTATTTTTATCCTTTGTTTACTGTACCAAACCTTTGTGCAAGGGCTCATTAAAAAGTGGAGACGGAATACGTCAATTGGTTACGCGGCGGAAAGTGCAAAACATCTACAATTGTCAAAAATCCAAACGATTACGCTATGGGAAATGGAAAGCGATCTCAAGTGCATTTCAGCCGTATTGAAATGTTGCCATTATGCGATTTCGAAATTATGAAATTTGGCAAATTCCAAACTATTATACATCCCCCTACAGTTCCAGGAGAGCCGGGACCCAGCAGCTCAGATGGGGAGCCGGGACGGGGAGGAGTGGTGCTCCCGCCAGGAGCGCCAATCGAGCGCCGCGCCCCCCTCGCGTCATCCGAAGAGCATGTCGTTTGATGCGGCCTCTACCAGACAACACAATCCATTCATCGATGCACTTCATAGGTATCATGCCATCCAAAAATTTGCCTTATAACCCGATATAGAAAATACAGTTCCGCCTAGAAAATTACAGGGTTAAGGTAAAGCTTCGTTAAAAATTAAAATACCTGATTTCGAGTGCTCATTAATTAAAATTAACGTAATAAATTATAATTTTTTTTAAAAAGCGGGAAGCTTGGTTAAACCATTAACCAACCCTTTTTTGTCAAGTACGTCGCTAAACCCCAACTACAGGAAGTTCTCCCATAACAACGTTTATGTTCGGTTAGTTTGAGCACCACCCAATAAAGGGATGTTGGAAATGGCATACTTATATATTTTATGTAGCTTAAATATTTGAAGCCTCAAATGTTATTACTTTCCAACGTCTCTTTTTTACACATTCCCTTTATTTAACGTAGTGCTTGGAAAATTTGAATTTAGGGCGAATTTCATTCAAAGAATTTAAATTTCAGATTTACCGCTGCTTACAACGATCGGCCCCGTCTGACGAAACAAAAACGGCAGAGCGAGGAGACTGTACTCGAAATGATTGATGCCGACGAGATTCTGTGAATTTTCACTTTCAATTTTTATCTAGTACTTTGATGATTTCCAATTTTCCTGATACCGTAATCGCAAAGTAGAAACAATAGTCATACCTTTCCGAACTTAGCTATTACGGTAGTTCAACTATTTTCCCTTTTTTACCGAATTGCGGGTTCCGCCGATGTATCGCATGCCGTGCACCCGTTCAACATTCCGCCATTTTCTAGTTCTCCTCTGTCGACCTATTCCTGTCTTTCTCAATGTTTAGTTTTGTATTTGCATTTACAAATTTACAATGTGTATTTTGATCCCCGGTTTCTACGGTTCTTTTCCTTTTTTATAAATATTTATTGGTAAAAATGAAGAACGTTTTTTTATTGAAATGGAAATAGTTTGAAAATGCAATCGCCCATCGTGTGCTTTGTACTTAAAAAATTGCAAAAACGTGTTTATCATTAGCCAAACATAATTCGGCATCAACTTGCTCTTCTCAGGCGCTGAGAAGGGTGCAAAATAGGAAAGAAGAGGGGTTGCGCTTTCACTTGGGTGAGTGAAACAGAATTGGAGGGGCTGGGCAAAACGATGGATTATGATTAGAATAGGAGAACTGCATGAGGAGTGACTATCAATTGGGAACCGAAATGTTCATATGGGGTGTCGGGGGTTGGGATTGTGCACATTTTTGACCGAGTGACTATGAGTTGAAGATTAGAATGGGATGGCTAGGTCTGGAAATTGAGTCTGGAAATTTAGCCATCACTTTCTATATGTGTATGCTTAGGCATAGCTTGGGTATAAATAAAAGCAGTAAATCAGCTTTAGAAGAAAATGGAAAAAGTTGTTGGACCAGGGGGCCGAACCCGACTTGGCCCCGAGGAAGCAGGGAAGAATAGATGTAATGAGAGGACCCAATCCTGCTCCTCACAACTCGGTGATCACTCGACTTCCCGGGGCTGCACCGCTACGCATTATTGGAATATACGTGACGGCGCTGGCACTAAAATAATGTGAATTTATAGATAGAACCATGACTATGGACGGACAAAAGCATGAAGAAACTGGAGCCATCGTAATCCAAGAAAAAGAACTTTTTTGTTGCCTCCCGTTTCTCTATCTAGCAAACTAAAACCAAAAGCGAAGAAACATCTGTTTTTCCAATTGCTAATATATAAAGACTTTAACAAAGGAACATTGAAAACCCGGAACCAAAGAAAAATAGATATGTATAGCTAGATACCGTAGATACCAACCAGTTAGTCCTCATTTTCGGTCGCTAAAAAGCACTACGAATTCAAGAAAAACCGCCAGATTAGTTGCTGTAATTCCTTGAGCTTGAAAACAAACCCAAACTCGGCCGGCTTGACGCCCCCACTTTGCATCCGGGGTATCCGGGATTGGGGCGGGAGTTGGGTGGGCTAAAATATTAAATTAAGTCATGTAAAAAGCTGATAAAACATGCTAATAGACTAAACACTAACACTAATTCAGATGACTTAAATTTATTAGAAAGTTGATAATGCAGATCTAGGATGCTAATTTGAGTTTTTTCAGAGCTAAAACGCATCAAAACGGTGTTTTTTTTCGGAAATGTGGTGCTTAAAAGCTGATAGTTGCAGCGAAGAAGTAAACGCAAAAATAATAATGACATGTTATACTCGACACCAGGGGGCTACCTGAGAAGCGGTGGTGCTAGGCCGGTTAGCAGTGGTTGAGGCTTGAGGTTTTGCTGGGATTTTAGAAGCTGAAGGTTGTTTGAGGCCGGAAGGGCGAGGTGGGATCGGGATTGGCGGTTTTGTGTCCGCCACTGGTGGTTCCGGCTCGTCATTTTCTTTTCCTTCCTAAATGCGGCATGCCGGTATTATACGAAAAAGCCAAGGACTGATTGTAAAGGTCGGAGCAAGCGGCATTATTGAATTTAGGCATAATGCCAGTTGCACAGCAATAAAAAAGCTGTTTTTCCGACGCAAATGTATTTTGTCAGGAGTTATATGGCTTGAGGATAGAGGTAGAAGGTGAGATATTTAGTAGTGATAAAAACAAAAATTGGGGTTGATGAGGAATTCGTATAATTAAAAATGCGTACCTGCATTGGGGAGACAACATATTTCGGGATCTTGCTTGTCATCTAAATTATAATTAGATTAGAATTGTGCATTTAAGGTAGCTATACCTCAGCCGATCCAACGGGGATCATTGTTACATGATTTGTCGGGGTTTCGGTGGATGAGTGAACACCGGAAGAGGAGGACCGAGTTGAATCGGGGCTGAATTGTTTGGCCTACTATATACACCTCCTTATATACCTTTGTCGAGAGGAATTCGCAGAATTGAAAATAAGATTGTCAAGCCTGGCTTCAGCAGCAGCCACCTTCGGGTTATTATTGTTGTTATTTTGATAATTTGTCGGCTGTCGAAGTCCTCTAACTGGAATCGTCGATTCGGCTCCAGAAGAGCTCGCATTCTAAACACACTACTATTGTTTTGCGAGTTTCTGCAGACCTGTCTCGCTATAGCCTGAGCCCTCTGTGTCTCCCGGATTTCATTCCTCTTCTCATTCCTTGCCATTTCTCGCTGAGCATGGCTCTGCCGAGGGCCGTATCTAGAAACTTCTCATAATCATAATTTCGATAAAAAATAGCCACCTTTGACTGGGTCTCCTCTCAAAATGCGATGAGTTCCTCCTGGACATCCTTCCTCCATCCTTATGTACAGTCTCGTACTCGGTCCGTCCACGGTATTTGAACGTACTGCCTAGTCGGAAGAGTTGATTTTGCCGTTGTTTTTGTTGGGTTCGTTGGCTAAAGGTTATTTTGTGGATGTTAAATTTAGGTCCAAGTCTACCTAAATTTCAGACGGAAGAACATGTGATACTCAATTGCGCATTTCCAGAGGTGTTTGCAAGCTTTTGTGGAAGCGAGGTTGAAGATAAAGGTGTGGAGTTGAACTTGACCGCTCTGAAAAGTAGATTTAATACATTTTATACTATTAATATAATTATTTACCGATTTTAGACGTTAAAAAGTTGGCTTACCGTTGAGTCGGGATCTTCTTCAACAACCAGGGTAATCTTCTTGTTTTTGAAATCCATCTTCTGAATTTTCTCCCAGAAGAAAAGGCCGATCTTCTGCGGGCCATCAAAAACGAGCATACCGGTTGGCGTTAGACCAAGAGAATAGCTAAATATGATGGCTTAGGAGTTACTTTAAATATCACTCACTTATTCCCATCCTTGCCCTCCACAATATGCATATCAACTCCATAGAGCTCAAGCCATTTTGCTTTGTTGAGGAAATTCAACTCGGCAAGGGCTGGGGTTTGGCCACTAAAAGAATACTATATGCTTTTTTACTCTAATTTGCATACCGGCATTCCTTGAATTTTTCTAGAATGTCGAGCTCCATTTGTTCATCTTGGAGGGGGTGGAATCGGAATTCGGATATGAACATTGGGGTATGTTCGGTGGGGCTGTAGTCACCAAGTTCGGCTAAACTACGGTATTAGGGATACGTATTTCCGGCGTTCAAGCAGCATTTCCTTTCAAAACTTACATTGAAGCGCATAAGCGGCTAGTTCAACACCAACATCTTTCGGGCAAGGCAGTCTTCCGGATAGAATATCCCATTTTAATTGCAGGAAGAATTGGTATCTAAAATGAAAAATTAGGACGTTTATCAATTTCAAACCTGGTCAATTCCTCGCGCAAATTGTTCGGCTCGCTGGTGTAAAATTTGACCCGGAATCGGAAGGTGTACGGTGGGCCGATGGGGACTTGTTTGGAGACCTTTTTCAACGGGTCTAGCCAGTGCTGAGAGGATGAAAATTATGTACTAAAAGAAGGTTTACAAACCTGTACATGGTAGTGGTCGGTGTATTGAAGTCCAAAATAATCTTGTTCTTCAAGGTCTAGGGTGTAGAAGAGTTGTTCGTAGACATCTTTACCGAGAGCTTTTCTCTGAAAAAGTTCTGATATTTTTATTTGGATTCCTCGTCCTCAAATTAATGCTTTAATTTCTTTAATTCGTTTTAATTTTTCCATACAAGACCTTTAACGCCGATTTTGCTTCATAAATCCCAAACGTATTTCTCAAATTACCACCCCGAATACCCTCAAATCCCATAAATCCGTGAGAGACGGCTGCCGCCAAAAGGTCACCTTATAATTCACCGCATCTGGCGGCCACATCAAAAGGCCCCACCCTCAAAACCACTATACTACGCCCCCCCTCAACCCCCTCTTCAACCCCAATAATAATATGCACAAAAAATGGAGCCTGCCAGCTGTCCAATCCCATCCCCCCATCTCGCTCGACCCTTGGCACTAATTATCGTGAATCCCCTTTTCCCCCTCATCCACCCCATATTAGCAAAATGGCCACTCACCGCGACGACAATATTCAAATCGGTCCCATCGAGAAGGAGCACCTTGCAGCAGACCTGAAAATATTGGGTTAATTATGAGACACGAGCGGGTGGTGGGCACCTGTTCTGGTTTCTCCTTGAAAAAGTTCATCCGGGTGGGGGATTGGTTTTCCCTGGCTAAAGTCTTAATTTTGGCAACAATGTGATAGAATTATGATCCAAATTAGGTCATCCAGAAAAATCAAAAGCAACCTATTGAATCAAAATATAACCGAGAAAAGAAAGCGATTGGCTCAATTTTTCGGTTTTTCATCATCGGTAATAAAATTGGGTGACAAAATAAAAAAAACACTTCTACCCTATGCAAAAATCAGTTGTTCAATATAGCTAAATGCTCGCATTTGGTTTGCATTAAGCGAATTTAAACCTCAAACCAGTCAGATATAGAATATAATTCACCTCTTCTACCGTACGCTTGCCATTAAAATTAAAAATATAATTAATTTTTGCGTTTTCTGAAAGAATTAATGGGATAAAGACCAAGATAAATCCGCTATGCAATAAACAACACTTTTTCTACCGTAATCCAGCCATCAAAAATCACAATTAATAACCTTAGAATCCTGGTCGTCCTCTTTCATATGGTGCCCGTCTCAAAATATTCAGAATATAAGAAACAGCCGTTCTTCCCAGGGCCCGAAAATGGTCTCCCCGGTTTAAGCGGCCGGATTTATCGGGTCAGGCCGAAAATTGGCTGCAAACCGCCGGGGGGATGGGTGGCGCTGAGCAGTCGAAAGCCCTTTCTGGGTCACACGCTCTGTCAAAAGATCCCCCCCCCCACAACTGACGAAGAGGCCTTGAGCTGTTCACTCGTAGTCGAATGGAATGTTTTGTCCCCTTTTACCCATCGAAAATGCCCCCCCCCCCTTTACGCGTTCTTATATTGACCTGGACGGAATAATTTTGGGGGTGGTGTTAGGGGGTCTTGATGATAAGCCTTATTTATTTGCCCCCGGGGATTGGTGGGAGAGAGAGAAGGAGAGAGAGAGAGAGAGAGAGAGAGAGAGAGAGAGAGAGAGATAGAGATAAGCGATTACCCTAAATTTTTGGTAAAGCCGCTTTGGTGATTGATACGTGGCAAGAAGGGCAACGAAAAAAACAAGAGGTACAGGTCAAGGAAGTTGGGCGTGAATCTTCTGTGGAACATTTTCGTTTCTTAAAAATATTGATAACTAGCAAAATGCCCAAATTAACAGGTTTTCAGAAGATTTTCTTAAGCTTTTTCGGGTCAAATTTAATTCCCTAAGTTTTTGCATGCAAATCAGATCCAAAGCTTTTAAGAACGCGCCTCAGAAAGTGCTAATCTTTATGCTGCATGTAAAAATTTCGCCATTTTAATAAAAATAGAACCACCTCTGTTCCTAACAAAACCTTCAAAACACCCAGACCATGCCCAACCGGCCCAAGAAATCAAGCATAGCTGTTGGTTGGGTGAAGGCGTTTGGCACGGGCCATTGAGTTGAGAAGGGGGGATGGGTAAGGTTACAGTCATTTGACACTGGCTTTTTTTCTTTCTTTCTCTACTCCGCCCTCTCCTCCCCACTCTATCATGTCCAGTCCCAGAACCAACAGGTTCTTTCGCTGTCCACCACCATCTCTTCCTGATTATTTCTATGGTAGCAACCATCCGGAAAGGCGCCAGTTGGACGTAGTAGCGGTGGGGGATGGGGTTTTTGGCTAGAGTACGGTCGGTTTCCAAATAAAGATTTCAATAAAGAACCGGATGAAACCAATCAATTTGAATACGAAGAGTTCTTTGCAAAAAAGCTTCCTAAACCTCAAATGAACTCCGGCCAAAATGATTTTACGGCTGATTTTCATAGAAGCCGCCAAGAACGATAAGCAATCTGACAATTGGAGTCCCAGAAAAGTCGAGGAAAAGCTTAAAGCATACGCCCAAAGTTGCGGGCGTCTCCAGAAATGAGTAATGCACCTGTTTGCTATCTATTAAAAAAGGGGCGTATCGGTTGTGAAGTTTGTTCAGCTTGTGAAATTGAGGGGAACGGGTCGATTGGAGATAACAGTTATATTTTTTTGAAAAGTCCTGGAAATGAAAGGAAATAAAGGAAAATTCGTAGGGAATTAGGCATAAAGATATTTGGACCAATAAAAACTTTCCGAGTTTCTATTCATAAAACGTAAAATAAAAAATTTAAACTAATAACTTTATGGCTAGGAATGTCGAAAACTAGGTAAATTAATTAGCGATTTATTGGATCTTCCGCTTTATTACAAATTTTTTTTCTTGCGAATTCCAAATTATTATAATGCTGAAATTTCATACTACAGGATTTTCGTTAAATTGAATATTAATTTGCATTAAATCAAAACAAAAAATGCTAATTAGATCGGTCAATTTGTGGGGAATGACTAACTCTTTTAACGTGGATATCACTGTGCAAGTGAAATTCCGTATTATACTATTTCAGTACTATAAAGCATCATAACAATAACCTAATAAAATCTCTAAAATTAACGTTTTTTGGAGGGTGTCAATGGGTATATAAGGGAAAGAGGTACGGGTGTAGTGATGTCCAGCTGGTTGACCCCTAGCCGTTGTTGAGAGGGGGGAAGAGAGGCTGGATGGCTGGTTCAGGGACGGGACTCTCTACTGCCTATCCAAGTGGAAATTATACTGCCATACATAGCCTCTAGCCATGCACATCCATCCACATTTTCCTAGGGTATATTCTACCCACTTGGATTTGGGTGCTCTCACCTATGCAAACAACAAAACGGGTTTCGGTGTTCTCGCGGGCGGGAATTCTTGGCGGTTAGTTTTATTACCAGTTTAATAAATATTTATAACTATGCATAACCTATATTTTTATTTAGACTTAAGCACGATTTTTTTACCCCTTGCCACAGGAAATTGCAACGTATGCCATACACGCATTATCTGGCATAGTACTTCCGAAAATGCTGATCATGACAAAAATCGTATCAAAAACCGAAGATTTATAAATTTTCTGATTTAATAAACAGAAACCTCTGTTATTCTTCATATTCTACATTGGAAACTTAAAGAAAAAATCAATTTAAACTGAATTCCTGCCTGGCCTGAATTCCTGCAGTCAAAATATCGAGTCAGGAGCCAAATGCCAGGAGTCCTCTTTTCGTTTCTAAGATACCTCCAATAAGGACCTTTTATAGACCTTAAATATAGAAACATAAAACACAAACGGATTTTTAGTGGTTAAAGCTACACTACATTCAGAAAATATCGAGCCAAGAGCCCAATGCAATGAATTTTTTTATTTGTTCTAGAATATTTTTAGTACAGAAACTAGGCCGCATTTAAAATGGTTTATGGTATAAGTAATGGTCAAAACTATACAAAACCCTTTGGCCGAAACATCGGCAGCTGAGCCATCGGTTTTGCGATTGATTGGATGGTAAAATGCGCGTAGAGGGGGTGGGGGAGTACAATGGCCAGAAAGCGGCACCCCCTTCTTTCCTTCATCTATCCATCTCTCCCCTTCCATTCAATCTGATCCATTATGCAAAAATAGCGCTTCTCCCCCCTCCGAAGCCCGAAATGTGATGAGAGGAATGGGTTATGGAATTGGGAGGATGGGTGGTAACTGCGAGTTTTGCAATTCGGGGAGCAAGAAAAGGATAAAAAAGTTATTTATGTCATAATCACAATTTTTTTTGTTTCTGATAATCATTAAAAATTGTGAAAATATAAAATTACTTGGAAAGCGCCGGCAACGAACCGGGAACATGCGTTTTTGCAGAGCTTATCACTAGTGACAGCCGGGTCGAGCCCGGTGGCCTACAAATCCTTCTTATTTACAAGCTACGGACACCGGTCGCACAGATAGCGCACCAGTTTTTTCGTTGGCACAATGATTTCTAGCTGGGCTTTACATCAGCAATCTTAAAAGGGGCGAAACCCGATCGAATCACACACCAAGAAAATTTTTATTTTTATTTTGGACCCGGATGAAGATGTTCAAGGATGAAAAATACTCGAGTTTTTACATTTGTAGTACTTACCTGTTTTCGAGGGTCGATATCTCGAGACTGATCGTTTCGAGGCCGATGATCACGCCGAAAACGGGCCGACAACGTTCGAAAGAAGGATGGCATCCCTGGAAAAGTTTTCAATTATGCAAATTTTACGTATCCTAAGAGAACAAGAATACAAAAATACAACAAAGTTTTTTAAACAATTTTTTAAGTTAACCACGATCTGCTCTACTTACTGACTCAAAACTAGCGAACGGGATATATAAAGAAAAAAAGAGAAGTCCACAGGGAAACCGAGAAACGGTGAGCGAGGGGAAATCATGTAAAAACCCGAAAGAAACCGGTAGTTCTGAAGAGGCGCTTCGGGGTGAGGAAAAAGCTTCTCATTGGCGGGTAAGTGATCAAACGAGCGATGAGGAGAATAATGCAAACAATACCCTGGAACGGAGGAGGAGAAGGAGAAGCTCACACAAAATATGGCTCACAAAAATCTAGCTGATCAAAACATAAAAACAGGCATTTTTTAAAAGGTCGTAGAGCATGGATGGAGGTGACAACATATAGGAATGTGCCGGAAGCTGGGCAGCAGGCGCGTGTGCGAAATCGGAGCCATCCTATTCGGCGCGTTTACTTCGACACGGCTCGGCGCGGAGGGTCCTTGCAGATGGAAAAAGTGATGGGAAGACAACGGAGTTGTTCACGGTTTTCGAGAAGTGTGTTTTTAAGGGGGTGAGATTATTGGGATTGGAAATGATGGATTGGAAAAATTAGTTCAACGAGCTGGGGAAGCGGGTAAGCCATAAAAATCCAAAATTTCTTCTTGAACTTAACGAGTTAGAAATTTCTGGAAATTTAAGGACTAGAAATGCTGCGTGATCAGTTGGCTAAAATAAAAGATGCCAGCTAAAAACTTCCAGAAAAATACATGCTTCCCCACATAAATTTCTTGGCATTTTGTTTTGTGTTCTAGTTAGCCCGAAATTCCATTAAAATCACTAAAACACTTCCTCCAAAGATACCTCAAGCTGTACACCCCCTAAAGGGCCGGTTGGAAATTTACATCTACCCTCTCTTTCTTTTTCCTCCTTCTCTCTGATTCACCGTGGGGGTTTTGGG